TTGAGGTTGTTTAAGATTCAAGTTACTTTGAGTTCTTATCAGTTTTTTACTTTCAGCTCTTACCCCTTGTGATGTTGAGCTTTGTAACAAAATGGCGTGATAATAAATCTGTCACGATTCAAAATTGAAAAATAATCTTTATTTAAAAATTTCTAAGCTACTCTTGAATTAAAGGGGTTCGTTGTTTTCGAAATTGTGATGCTGTTATTCACCCTTAATAAGAGTTGGAGGCAATTAAATTCAAGTACACATTTTTACACCTCGACATGATGCCAAAACTATACGTTTCTGCCTTGCCTATGTGCGTCTTCGTCTTTTGGAAACAAGATTAATTCAGTCAATTTTTTTCCGATCAATACGGTTTCTTGTTTATCTTGTTTGTCAGAATGATTGAACGGCAGGAGCCAATTACGTCGAACGGTGAATAATTTTCACCGACTTGCACCCAATGCGAGTAAAAGTAAGAAGGGTGCGCTTTACAGCAATAAATAATATCGACTTGAATTTGTTTTTACCGAGCAATTTTAGTATTTACAGAAAGCTAAAACGTAACCACTTATCATTGTTAGCCGGCAAACCTAGTTCCTAAAGGGGAGGGTGAGAGGAAAATAATATTTGCGCATGAAATGCGAAGAGAGCGAAAAGCTGGATCGTTGGAATCGTGCTTCACACTCGAGTGAATTATAGCCTGCAGAACTGGTGCAATTTTTCGCGTTTTTCAGTCGAACGGAGGCAAGGCGTAACGAAGGAAGAATCGTACTCCTCCCCTCACCTAGCGCTTGTCTCTGTTCGCGTGCATAACACAAAAAAAATTACGCTTGTTCTGCAGGCTAAGTGAATTTCCCCCCCTTCATCTCCTTTCTAGGCTAACGTAACAAGCTTAGATTATTAGCCAGAAATATCTACAAAATTGGCAGTCGTCAGATTCTAGTTAACTTTCTCTGGCTTGTGACGGTACTCAGTCCACAGACCTCCAGACCTCCGCCTCCAGTTCTACATATTTTTCACAAGGTTTCTACCGTTCCGAAAGAGAGTTGATCAGGAATCTGTCATTATAGTAATCACTGAGTCAGTATTACGAGGAGAAAACTTAAAGTTAGAGGAAGTAATAAACTGAAAATGTGACGTTCTGTTGAAGAGGGCATAAAGTTATAACCTAACGAGTCGTTACTTGGATGATCTCGCACAATTACAATCATGTCCTTTGGTCTTGTAGGCCTCAGATTCAGTCTTGACGTTGTCTTATATGTTGTTCGGGCCTTGGTATCCTGTGTGGAGCGTTGATCAGGGTTTATCGTGGTGTTTAGTTGATTCTTCGTTCCACAAACTGAAAAATGAACACAACAATGAACAACCATGACACATCCGTCAAAAAGAAGTCATAAATTCAACTATTAATCATCCGTAACTGGTGAGCTAAGTCCCTTGAATACTTATCTCTCTTAAAAAAACTTGCTTGAAAAAGTGAGATTTTTTGCTATAAGCCGGAGAAATCTTATATTGGAATGGCATTGATTCTTCACTGCGCGCTACGGATAGTCTACGAAACTTTCCTCACACTTTTGACCAATCTGATATAAACTTGACTTCTCGGCTTCATGGGATATTCTCCTTTCTGATTGGCCACTGTGATTACTTTGGGTTAGGTTTTAGGACAATGAATCTAAAAGTACTCTTCACTGCTAGTTCAATTGATTTATTGCATGATTAATGATCCATTAATTGGGAAGAAAAAATTTGACTGATTGGTCAATTGTTTAATTTATTGATTTATCTTCAAAGCTCGTGTTGAGTTCGTTTAGCTGACTAATTTTCATAACTTTTTGTCGATTTTCTTTCTTATCTAAAAGAAAGAAAGACGGGTCATAATTCATTGAGAAAAAGCAATTCCCCTTTGTTTGCTTAAATAATAGGTGACGCGCAGTGTATTCGAAAAGACAGTAATATTTGAAATGACTCTCTTGTGCAATGTCATTGACCAGTAATTACAAAATAGGTGCTACATTTACCGGAATTAGCCATGCTACATCCATAGATTTCTAGCCTCACACAGGGTATTTCGTACTGCCTGGAGAGAAGCGGTCGAATTCGCACGAGCCGAGCTCTAAAGGGCACTGGTAGCTTGTTTTGTCGAGCCCGCAAATTTTTGCGATAACCTTCAAAAATCTGGGGAGATAATAATGTCATGTGAGTGTCAGTCAGAGTACGTGATCCAAAACAGTTTGTTACTGAAAATGTTACCGGCCAAGCAGGATAAGATTAGGAAAACTAATATCCTATGAAGAACTATATTTCAATTTAGCGTCGAAGGGATCCAAGATTGTGTTAGTTTTTCTTATCTGCACATGCTAACTGATTGCTCTTGAAATCTCGAAACCTTACTCCGCTCTGAGATAATCCCGATATGGCAACTTGTTTAGCGTCAAACCCTTTTACGAATACAGCTATTTCAATTTACGTTGTCGGATCAAAGCCTCAAGCCTACAAGACAAGACCGAAGGGGAATATGGGATCTTAATAGGAGTCATATCTGTTCTTGTTGCTCTTTGTTAAGACGCGCAAGGCAATACTAATTGTATTTTCAGCCTCCATGTCCATCTCGCGCGGACAACCCCGAAAGCCTAAAATTAATTCTAATCTACCCATACCGCCTTTCGGTCTTGTCCCGTACCCTTGAAGCTTTGATCCGACAACGTAAATTGAAATAGCTGTATCTCGAAGAATGAAGACATGTCTAAATTTTGCGGTACCGTCCATTTGGACTCACATGTTCAACTTAAGCGACGTGCTCTCACTCTTCACATGAATATCCAAACAATACACGAGGTATTCTCACTTAAAGTATTCTAAAGTGTGATCGTTGATCATGCCCAATCAATCGATCTGAATGGTACAGTGTAAGTTCAAAGGCAATTTTACTGACGACACGAGATAATCTTGATTATACTGAGATATGTCATGAGTAGCACTCACCGTTCCTTCTTGATACTCAAACCAAGTTATCCCGTCGCAGCTGTAGTTAAGTTTGTATCTCAACGCAATGTTTCCATTTGCTGGGACACCTTGTGTGGCTATTGCGGTGACAATAGAGTTGTTTAACAGGTCCACTTGTAAGAAAGGATTCATATCCGCGTCTGCTGCACACCAACCCCCTAGAGATCTATGGTTAAGGCTCCTGGAGAGAAACAAGGAGAGAGGAACGTGAGAACAGCTTGATCAGAAAGTTTCGTGGATATCCTACAGGCATGCAGCTTACAATCCATGGGGAGAAGACTTTTCCTTCAGCCACCTTGTGGTCCAGCATAAGTATGATTAGAGTTGACTCCGAGCACTTAAGTTATTTTCCGCTTTCTTTGGATTTAGACTTGAAAAAACGTTTGGTTACAAGCAAATGAGATTGCCCGCGAGAAATATCTTATACATTATCATTTCAATAACTTTATTGGTGAAGATTTTTATCAGTTTATAGGTAAATGCACGTGCTAACTTAAAAAAAAATTAATGAATTACTTAGTCCTGATATATAAGTCGGTACAATATATCAAACCAAGGATGCCAACTAGACGTTCTGATCGACTGGCAACTCGAAAGACACTTTTTTAAGTAACAAATTATTTAACAAACCACTGATTATGAAGTCTTGCTTCCGATGGTCGGGTCCAAACACTGTCGAAAGAGGAAGCTTTTATTTGCGACTCGTTAATCGCACCAGACTGCATTCCAAGGGCATAAGAACATGCTGTGGAGAATCGTAGTGAGAGAAATAAATCAGACACTTTGAAAATTATAATGCAAGCTTGACTTTTGAATTATTGCACTTTAATTGAATTGTGGGAGATTCGTTTAGCAATTTTTCTGTTACCCCCAAGTTTTGTGAAGCCTCATAGATTGGTTAAACCCCAAAACTAGAAAGCACGGGACAGATGTTTATGTTTCAATACGTCACGGTGTTGTTGAGAACATATAATTTCTACAAACAGGTCCGTGTAGATTGCATTTGGTTCAACCTAGCGGACGTTTTAGAAAATAATTTCACGTTAGTTCAGCAGATGACCGTGAGAAGTTGTCAGTAGAAGTAACAGCGCCAAAAGCATTTACTGAGGACTTCACCGAAGCAATCAACTTACCGATGGGAATTGTGTTTGTATCAGTGGCTAGGCTGTCAGTGCTATGTGACCTGTTCCCCGTCTTAGAACTCAGCGTTGAAAATCTCGGAGGCAAACCAGTTAATGGAGCCTTGGTTACTGAAGATGAGTATGCTGCTGCCTGGCTTGGTGACATTGTAGCCTTGGTAGGGTGTGGACAGGCTGAAATAGAAGGGTATCATGTTTTTGTCGGTTAATATAAAGAACAGTTTTTTTCTGCACAAAAAACGCTGACTTTGGTCACAAAATTTTTCTGCGCTTGGTCATGATTTTTTATAAAGGGGTAAGTTTCTAAAGAAACTGTGGTGCTGCGTCGGTGGGAGAGTATAGCAGGGAGAGTATAGATTTGCATCGCTCTGACGAAGGGCTAACGCTCGAAACGTCAGCTTTTTTACCCTTTGCGGTGGCTAATCTACGTTTTCAACCCAGTTGTTAACACCAAATTACATGATTTTTTATGCCGGCTTGTTAAGGTCTTCGTTGGAACACTGAGTTTTTCACTTTGAACTTGATTGGCCGTTGGAATTATTTCTAAGACCTTCCTTGACGAATAATTTCCATTCACCGTTTATGCTCTAAAAAGTAGATGATCCAATCCTCAATGGATTGATCTTCGCTTTTTTCCTGTTACCTTGGCTTGTTTTGCATCCATATAATTCCAGTCTCAGACAAATGGTTTCCAGCTGATTCCATTCCAAGGGCAACACTCTAATGAACCGAGCCAATATGGATGGTGAAAGCGTGTTCGTTACCACACTATCAGAATCATTATTTGCCTGAAATATCTGCAAAAAAAAAAGTCGAACACAGTCATTACTGAGTCTGTACTCGAGCTAAGCGGCCCATTTAACCGAATGTTATCTAACATTTATTGCGTGAAAACGACCACGATTATTGCTACTCTTCCTGGAATGAATAAGATGTTGATGTAACGCAGATCACCATCTCCCGACCTTTTGCCCAAAATCTCATTATGATTCCCTGACAATGCCGACGCCCATTTATACTCCACGACAAGGAAAGATACTGTAAGAGTGCTAGAACCCAAGTCTATCAGAAGTTAAGCGTGCTAGTCCCAGTCCTCCGTATTTACTAAGTTTCTCGCAACTTATTGTTACTTACAACAGGTACTCCTTGTATGGCATAAGAATGCCATTTGATTCCATCGCAACTGTAGTTCAAAGAGTATGACGCCACCCAGTAACCAGCCATAATGATGTCAATTCCCTGAGAAGCTACAGCTGACACGTTTGTTGTCCTCTGTAAGTCAATTTGAAACCACTGATCCAAGTCCACGTCTTCTGCACACCAAGCCCCGAATGAGTTCGACGTTCTAGGATGAAATCATGTTAAGGCATTAATCTGTTGTATTGAAAAGACAGCTGCTGTTCAGCAGCTTTTATTGTGCCAGAAAAGTTAGTTTTATCGAGCCACATGACACCTTCGCCAGACATAGTTGCAAGTTCGTTTTGGCTCTCTAAATCAACTCTTGCTTTTGCTCTACTTACATTGGGTAATTTCTTTTCATACTTAAATTGGATTGCCGACAGAGAAATTTTCAATTGAGTGCCGGAAGTAATCCATGATTCCATTGGTTTTGCCTAACATGCTTCGTGCTGCACTGACTTGGTCCAGAAGACTCGCGCCACTTCCTCAACCAATCAGATGCAATTCTTAGGTATTGAATTAGTTGTGCAGACTTTTGGAACCATTAAATTAACAAATAGAGAAGCCTTGATTGTACTCTGTTCTGTTATAAAGCACTTAGGAAGCGGCTAGAGCACTCAAGAAGTGTAGTTCAGTGAACTTCAGCCGAATTATGGCTCATAAAAACACGCGAGTTTTTTTGACATGACAAGGTAGAAAACAAACTGTTCAAGGGGAGTGTTTTTTGAATGAACAACAGCCGAATTCACGGGAACATGAAGATCGCTCTTGACGACAGCGCCGCAAAACTCAGCTGCAGTGACTGATGTGACTTTCCACTCAACGTATCGGAAAGGATATCAGAGCAAGCTCTTATTTTTTCACTCGAAGGGCGGCCGATGTAGATTCTGAGGCTTGTTTTACTGTGATGACCGGAGATCGCCATGATGAGCGAACCGCGATGAACTTCAGCATGATCATATTCGCTCAGACACCGTCATGATTAGTATGAATTTTAACAATTATGCCTGTTTAGCTATATTTTACATCATTTCTGTTTTGTTCTGTTTTGTTCTTGAACACTGAACTTTATATACCATACGAGTACTAGCTGTGTTTGATTTTTATAACCGTACGCAAGCTTGCAATCTAACTGAGCGTGAAAATCTTTAAAACTCGGAATGTTTATTTGTTTTTCCTTTGAGGATTTTTTCGTACCTGCTCACGTTTTGATAACGTAAATTACGGCGCCTGGTATCTTTACAAACCTTTGTTTGATTCTTCTGTTGCTACTTGCCGGCTCGCTTCAATTCCGAAATTTCACTTTCAATTATCGGAAAAAAGCTAAAAAGAAGTCCCGGAAAAGCTCGAACATAGTACAATTGGCAGATGGCGTGACAGCTTTAGCTCAGCTCTATGCTCTATACTCTCATAGAGTACGCTCTTTCAACCAATGAGAGCGCGCGTTATATCCGAACTTTATTATAATGTATCTTTAGTCTCTCCACATCGTATAAAACATCAAATCAGAATGTAGTTTTATTATTGTGCTGATGATACTCACAAATTGTTATGAAGTCGTCCTGCAGACGGCAGCAACCAGTCGCTCATGGATGTAGATGCCGAAAGCTGCGAGTCATGTATTGAGCCTGACGCCAAGCCAAGAGGCGATGAGCAACCTGGAAAAAATAGAAAGCTTCGTTTTACTTCTTTTGATTTAGGAGGGATGTAAAAGTCACCGGCATTGGCATGGTCAACTTGTTAGTCATTCAGTCAGTCCGCGAGTCAATGAGCGAGCTAGCCGGTGATGAGTTGGTCAGGTAGCAGTCGTCTAAAAATGTGAATCGAGGCTGACTAATTAGCATTTTTGCTGTGACCGTATCTCAGTTTGTACACAGATGACCATGTTTAACTCCCCTTATCTTACTCAAAACCAGTTCCGCAAGCGAAGAATGTCGCAGGTGTAGGGCTTAATTGTTGAATAACTGCTCTCCTGTTTCAAAGCAACGCCAATTAAAAATGGTTTTGTCAACGTAATGAGAGACCATCGCTTGAAAGTTTTCAAAATCGATACGCTAAAGAAAGTTTCTGGGAAAGAAGCAAAATTACAAAATGATAAGTGCTCCTGCAGAGATCATTACTGTGGAAGAGTGAGAGCAACAGAAAGAAGACGTAAAAATAAAGGTTTCTACGGGTACTTTATTCTTAAATTTCAGTCATTGATGGCAGTCACCGCTGATGTGTTTCTAAATCAGTGGTCCACGAAGAAACCTGATCTTTCTATACATGTTTTCTCAATTAAATATTACAGTTTCCGTAATAGATTTTAAAAATTCTTATTTTCTCCTCGCTAATTTGGGGAACAGTTGTCGTGGGCGCTCAATGCCATTGAGCCACTCTCCCCTACTTTCTTATGTTAACGGATGGTCATAGCTTGGAGGGTATTCAATTCCGAGTCAGAGTGTTTACTTTACAACAATAGCGAGCTGGGGGAAACTGTCAAAAGTAAATTAATTAACTGCTAATGAAAAATAATGACCTGTCTGAAGCTATTCATCACTCTGGACAGCCGACAACTCAATGCTGATCGATTGATCACAGAACAAGAGGCCTGTTTACTGGAGCAATGCTTAACATTTAGGGCCTGGTGAACTGATTTAATCGTCTTAAAAGTGATTTAACTTGTGGGTATTTCATAGAGGAGCCGATTGATTAAAACTTTGTCTGATAAAGAACGACGCGTGTCTCAGAAAGTGTTTGTATCTCTTCTAACTGCGGCCGTGCAAAAGCTGCAATCATCGCACAACAATTTCTGCCATTCTTAGAACGAAATTTTGAAATGAAACAGTCGTTTCTAGAGGTATTAGGTAAATTTTGTTCAGTGAAGACTGGCAGTTTTATTGCGAGCGAAGATATTGTTAGCTAACTGAAATATTCCAAACTTCGCCCATATACCTGCGATTAAGCGATAAGCTAATTACTCATAGAGGGCTGACCAAAAGTCCTCGTTTTACACGATTTCTTTGTGTCTTCTTGTAACGTTTTGGAACCTTATTCCTCTCAATGCAGGCGATTTAGTTGGAAAAATCATCGCTATTCTTTCGAAATACATAACAACCTCAAGAAGTTTATTGATTAGACAAAAGTGCACCTTTTCAGCTATAGTCTGGTGTCAATTAGCTTTTCAGACAAGTAACCGACAAGTACATCTACAGCTTCACTCGGATCTGTTTTCGTGCCGCTGTTCCTGCGGTCTTTCAGTACATTTGTATCATTTCAAAGTAGAGATGTTCAGTTTCGACTGTTAACCCATAATACTGCAAGAGCTGTATTTCTGTCCAGTTTAAGTTGTTAAGAGAATGATCAATGAAAACTATCACCACAACGCCCTTAAACAAAAGCATGCCGCGAAGGTTAAACGCTCGTATTGTCAGCAGTGAAACATTTCAACGGTTCACTCAGTTTTACTCACGTGTGAAAGATGTCCGATCAAGACAGAAAGTCCAGGAAGTTCGATCCGCGACTAAATTTGATTGGATCCATTTAAAAACTAACTAAAACTCGGGTTTGTATTTTGCATTTTGGCCCAGGTTTGTTACTTTGATCGAATGGTTTGGCTGACGTGTATCACAGATATCTTATCGGGTTCCTTTCAGCATTTACGCACTGGCTTCAATGAAAATGATTCAATAATTTATAACAGAAGAAGTGTACTTTAACTTATTTAAATATAGTTAAGGGAGTCAATGCTCAGTTTGCAAGACGAGACTACAATACTAGCTGCGTTTATAAGAAACGAACAATCACTTTCCTAACTTGCCTACATGGACATAAATCATTACTATTTTCCTCGTTAAAAGTTATATGCCACAAATTTCAAAGTGAGATAGTGTTAGAGAACGAAAAAATAACTCTACTCGTTCTAAAGATCACTCAGATAATTTAACAATAAAGTCTTGGCAAGGAGAGAGTGAATTAAGACCCACAAATATTTTGTTAACCGCACATTCTCGTGCTTTAACATGAAAAAAATCCCGACTTCAGATTTCATCTCATTTGGATACGAACTCAGTGAGAATACAAGTGATTTAAGAGAGCTAAATAGAGGTATTAATCAAAACTGGTACTTGTGGGAGGACGCGATAGTGGATTAATCAGAAAAGCAAACTGAAATACTTCAAGACTGGGGAAACAGTCTTCGGTTTTCCGGCCACGTTTCACTCAACTATCTAGGAATGCTTCATGGCCTTACGAATTGCTTAGTATTAATAAATACAGTAATTTCGTTTTTTGAGCCGTTTAGAGGCGTCAAACTTAAGTTTCTCTATCCTATAATGGGCTTATGTTAGCTATAACTGTGGCTTAATTGCCACCCGCTGTACGAGACGAGGAACATTTTTTGCCGTCAAGTGAAATTGAAATCTACCCTGATTCCTGTTTTCAATCGTGGCGGCGTATCGAAGCACTTATTTCAAATGCATTGCGGAAAGCTACAGAATTCACGGATTTTCCCTCTCGTGAACGACACAAAAACCTTGAAAACGGATAGAAAAGTGTGAATAATCTCTACTCGACTAGCTTACCTGCGATAGCTTCCTCTGTGGCTGTGAAATATAAAACAAACACGAGAAAAATTGTCCAACGCATCTTCGAAAGAATTTGACTCCAGCCTTGAAGAGTGAGCTTCAAATAATAAACTTAACCTCTTTGAGGTAATTCTACTTCTTCACTTCTCTACAGATCCACGCTTCGACCTCGGCGAGGGTTTTTGGGCTCTGATTTCACACATAGATCTTCACTTTGTAATATGATTACAAATTTAATCCGCAAAATCCGCAAATCTGTTGCCCTCAAGGGGTCACAGCGACAAAACCGGAAAGGCGGCGCATTGTTTACGCTCGAAAGTATGAGCCGGGTGTGTTGTAGTCATACATCATGATCGATCACTGTCTGGAGGCAGCAAATTGTAGGGCTGCAAGCGCGGTACATGTTACTGAGAGGACATTCGCTTGTCATAAACAACCTGGAAAATGCACCTTGGTGGCGCTGAGAAATATTTTAATGGCGAAAGAACAATGCAGAGTGGTTTTAACACAATGCAATCCTCGAACGGGACGTGCTTTCCGCTTTGCCACTTCGTACAAGAGCTAAGTAACAGGTTTTCGGATACTGAATTTTCATGAATAGCGTAGAACGGCATCCAGGGTTCTTTCTTCCATAGTTTGCCTGTTTGAAATTGTCACTCTTGCTCTGTAAGCAATTTTGTAAATGTCGCAAGCTATGAAACCTTAGACCTGGGGGGTGTTTCTCCTGTTCTTCTCTTAATGGGTCATAAATCGTCTTTAATTCGACAGTTGACGGAGTTGAAACAAGCCATCTAAGACATCAGTTAAACGTAACTTTTGGCGTTCCTCCTCGCGATAGTTGAGAGTAAAATTTAATTGAATAGCGATTAGATGAAAGATCACTACAGTTATGAGTTACCAGCCATTTGCATTTTTTAATGTTAGTCTTTATTCAGAAGGTCAGAGGTATCTTTTTCCAACATTCCCTTCACTGTGTTCATCCTCCACCGATATGTTACGAACTCGCATGATAACCGGTTTCCAAATGGCTTGAAGAAGCACTGCGTGTTTTGTCAGAGTCGCATCCCATAAAGTCTTAATTTTGTTAAATTTTCTCTAGCTGTGTACATAATAAACTTCGATGATCTTAGTCCTCATAAAATATATAGTTCGCTGTAAAAATATGTTTTTGAATGAAAAGTGAGACCACTAGTCCCTTATAAATCAGTCATGTTTTACTCTCAAGGTATCAAAAATGACAAATGTAACCAATGTTATTTAGCAACTTTCAGGGCTATTGCTAATGGGTAAAGTATCATAATCGAGTGTTAGAAAAGAGAGAAATATTTCAGCGGTTAATTTATTGAGCTTTCCTCCGGACGGAACTCGCACTGATGGTCAGTGTTGCTTACGAACTCTCTTATCGTTAAGTGGTCTTTATCCCAGATTAAGGAATTTTTTCTGCATCCTCGGCGTTTCCGTTTCTAACAGTTTTGGTACTTGATGGAGGAAAAAAGCCCCCGATTATCATTAGCACTGTGTTAACTTTGGAGTCAGGGTAACGAAGACGTTCACAACGCCAACTTAAGCATAAGCCTCATTTTTTTAAACAATTTTTGAGAATCGTAATGGTATACTATGTTGATAAAGAGAAAAATGATTTCAAAAGTTCTAATTTTAAGGAGAGGTTCATTATAATAGTAGCTTTGTGAGATTACATTTGTTTATTTATCACATCACTTTGAAATCAGTGGTGATCCTTGCCTTCCTGTGGCAATCTACATCTGTTTGGCTTATAGCAGTGCAATTTTGCACACGAATCGCTCTATTTTGCGTTTTAATCGCATGCCTTTTCCAGCCATTGAAAATGGAACACTAAAAAAATAGCAATCAGAATTCATGGCTTGCTTAAAGTAACCAAATAGGTTTCAGCAAAATGAAAATGAAAGACTCGACAAGCCATTTTGTGGCGAATTGTGCAACTCTTGTCGCAAAATCTTTTCTTAAAAAAAGATGAAAAAATGCGATTTCAAATTGATAGTAATAATTACGTGGTATTTGAACTACGAGTTAAATTTCGATTGTTTGTTTATCTTGTGATATTTTGTTTATCAAAAAAAGGCTTGACTAAATGACTACTTGGGTTAAAATAACGTTTTGGTGCGCCAAGAAAGACCTTTTTCGTTCCATACCATTTTTCAATTCTGTGAAAATTCGTTGTCATGGCCACTTTGATTTGACATCTTTATTTCTTCACCCGAGCCAGCGAGTTCAGTAAAACCATATGCATGCCAGATAATTCTTATATCGTATGGCTTCGCGTGCGATAAATACGATTTAAACCTGCTACACCCAAGCCAAAAGGTTAGACGGCAATTAATAACTGTCCACCGAAGAATTCTCTGACTCAGACACATCATGACATTGGACATTAATTATTTTAACTTGACACTCGAAACCCGAAACCCTTCTTGTTTCACTAAGAGTTGATTTATCATTTCGCTTCACTGATATTTTTTGTCTCAGTTCGAAAATTTTGGTCTCTATAGATAAACATCGAGTTGCCTGTTTTTTCGACTATGTGTCTTACCCTTAAATTAAAAATCACTCGATCTTGCAGTCAAGATCTTTTTTTTGTTTGAAATGTGCGTGCTATTTTCATGAAAGAGGTGTTTTGTTGTTTGGTTTGATTTTAAAAGAGGTGGATAGCTGATATGTCTCATTTACGCTAGGAAAAAACTTTATATTGGTTTAGTTTTCATCCTTTACGCAGCCTTTAGCAAAAATGAGGAGTTCTTTAGGAGTGAACAAACTTGGTAAACTAACCGACTTGAGCTTTTCGACCGAGGGCTAACGAGAAAACAAGAATTTTTTCATTTTTAGTAAATTTCTCAGATGTCTGTTAGGATATTGTCCACTTAGTCAACAACCTGAACTATTTAAGATAAGAGATTCCTCAGATATTTTCAGTGACTTGAACTACTTCATTTAAAGCAAAAGAGAATTGAGACCAGTCAGAAACAACAACGCCAGGACCTCTTTCTTCGTAACTGAAAAGCATTACAGCAAGAGATACAGTCGAAACTGTATCAAGCGGCACCTTAATAAGCGGTCACCCTGTATATATCGGCGGTCGCTTTTCAAAGTCCCGAAATTGCTACCTTTAATTATTGAAATTTTCACCTTTGACTGAGTCCCAACAGCCTCTTTGTATTGTCCTCCACCTGAACTGAACGGTCATTAAAAGCGACACTACTCAAATGAAATTAAGAATAATCTTCCAAGTAAAAATTTAATCCCATTTTATCTCCCGAAATCAATTTTGGTAGTATTCCTGAGAGAGTTTAGTACATTAAGTGATCAATTATGGCATAAAATAGCGATTTTTATCGTTTTTGAAAAGACTCCTATTCCGTGGAACCTGTATTAGGCGGTTTCCCTGTATTTAGTGGTCACCCAGTGTTCCCCTGTGGGTAACCTCTCAATGCAGTTTCCACTGTATCTTTGCAGTTGAGTTTGGAGCGTATTGTTTTCGGAAAAATACATTACCTCTCAAAGAAAACGGTCGTGTTGAAACATGCCTTGAATATTGTGTGTCTACCAAATAATAAATCTCAAATCGTTACTGTATTTACAGCAAAAACTCAGTGGTCTATAATCACCCTGATCTCATAGTTCAACGACGATTTGATAGATCAGGAACGGCGCAAAAATTTTTAGGAAACACGAAGCTGAATGAAGGAAAGTACTGCTAAATGTGTTACTACAGCAAAATAATTTGAATGTTGAATCTGACATTTTATTATTTTGTCCTGTCGGTAGACTTTCCACCCGCGTGGTTCTCAATCTTACTTTTTTCTATTTTAAGAGAAGGACTTGGCACATAAATACTTGTAATTTTCATTTCCGAACTGGAAGCAATGAAATTGTAAGCTTTGATCTATGTCATGACCGCTCAAAAAAACTTTCAGAAAGGCTTATTTTGCACAATTACAGTTATGTTTATACGAAAAATCAAACGGAAGTCTGTGTGATTTTTTTCTTACTGATTATTAAAATGGACTTCCGTGGGTGATATTTGATTGGCAAGGCTGAAAAGAAACTGGGAAGTTTGTTGCATGGCCTAAGCAAGTTAGCTGAGATAGAACTACCATTGCATGCCTGGGGGGGGGGGTTCCATTATCTTATCTGTTCTAGGTTTAACTTTTCTATTTTTGTTCTAATTATTTTTTCATCACTGGGTTGACTTGGTGATTCGATAGTGAAGTATACCGTCAGCAAGAAACGCCAGGAAAGACAGAAAACCAATAACCTAAAAAGCGAGGAAGAAAAAAATTAAATAAATTAGACAACATTAAGACTGAAGTACAAGTTGAGGATACATACATTCAGATTGCAAACTATTATATGGTGAATAACCTGTAAATGGATGTTGGTGGTACCAGACACTTAGCAGGGATGAACGACTGATCAGTTAAGCGCTTAACCAAATCCGTGCACGTGATCGTGGGCCCGGTGAAATTTCCATAAAGTGGAATTTAATTTTTCTGCTTTGAGGTAATATTAAACGATTTCCCGGAAATCACAACTCACACAAAGACCCCTTTCATGATGACCAGCTCGCCAAAGTAATTTGTTCCTCCATCTGGAAAAAGGCGGTTAACCCACCGCCTGGATTCTTTACAGTGAAAATTTTGCTTTGTAGTCCACTCACCACGAACTCAAATAAACTCTAAGAAATCAGATGCCTGCGAAACTCAGGAACATCGATACGTGTTGAGAAATAATATTGTAAGTATACCACAATATTTATATCCTTTAAAGGGATAGATTAGTAGCTTCTTGGGGGCTAGATCGTTTATTTATCAAATAAGAGACCATGAGTTCATGTTCTCTCGTCATAAATTATCAATTTTTTCTTGATACAGAGAGAAGAGGGTCAGCGATATACACCTCAGCCCGACTTTCCCTTTGCCACGCCCTTGGTCTACAATATTTACCACAGCTGCTTGAGCATGTTGGTAGCGCCACTGAATGCGCTCATCCTTTGATGTATCCCATTTGTCTTCCTGAAGACTGAGCACCACTTCACCGAACAGTCCTGACGAAACAGCACAGAATACAGCCCAGGTCAGTGAGAACAAGGTCACCTTAAAAGCAGCAAAACATTAAGAATATATTAAGGATTTACTCAAGGTCGAGAATACTTTAGTTAGTCGGCACAGACATTTCAGTGGCAGATGCAGAGGATGGCTCAGATATGTTTTTATATAAACTTTATTAGGCCATCGACACGCTTTGAAACTGTCTCGAGAAACTAGTACTTTTCGTATAGTCAGATTAAAAATCGACAGAAATTAAGATGTTTAGCCTGAAAAATGAACTGCATACAATTTGTTTTAATTAAAGAAACAATTTGCGTTTAGCTCGCATAGACTGGAAGGGCACGGCCCAAACAGTTGTCCCCCTGTTAGCCCTGACCTATCTTACCCCATCAATACCAAGATATGGGTATTAATTCTTGGCGTTAGCTGCCACTCATTTCTTACACTTCAAGATTTGAGAAATGAGTATCAAATCGAAGAAAATCCCTTGTTAATATTTCTAGTTCTTCTCGCCATCTCTGTGCTTTACAATGAACGACAAAATTCCTCTTAGGTCACTAATGGAAGTGAAAGAGTCAGAGTAAAAGGAAACCCACCCGCAAGCTGATGAAAATGGCAATATTGATATCGGCGCTATATAAGTATTATTATTATTATTATTATTATTATAATTATTATTATACAGCATAGCTGTCGAATGGTTGCTGCCGGTTTCTGTTGCATGAAAAGACCATGAGCAACTCTACTCCCTTAAGTTGGATGCCAAGCCATCAAATTTAAACCCGGTATTTCGTCGTATCTCCCCGAAAATCCTTTGGTAGTCGTCTGTTCTCCGAATTGGAGAGGAGCATAGTGAGAATTGAGTTTCTTACCTAGGAACTCAGCACAATAGTCCTTTGTTATAGCCCGCACCTTCTGTCAAGGCATAAAGTATGCTACCCATTTTACAGCCTGTGTCCCACAACAAAATGGATTTAAGTACTTACAAAAAATGTAAATCCTTTTGGTGATCCACATCTCTTATCCAAGTTAAACAGAAAGCTGACAAACAGGAAAATAGCAGTCACAAGACCGGTGATAACCACTACATAGAACAGGTTTAACCTGTTTGTTTGCCATTCAGGCAGGTTTGATATATCTGCATCCTTGTGGTACTGAGCAGTACATGCGACAGCGGCTGACAGAAGGGCCTGAAATTAAGAAAGCATGATTTATAACAGAAAAAAAAGTAATCGTTGCGTTAATTTGCTGGATTCAAGACAAGCGAATCAATTTGATGTCTTCAATAGATTCCGCCCTTTGAGGTTCAAGATTGAGTTTTAAAGTGCTCAGGTAATAAAACCATTCAGTGCTGCTTGAAAATTATCATTTTTAGTCGGCGAAACAGGTGTATTTTGGGCATTCAGGGAAAATGAAGGTGGTGGCCTGTAAAAAAAAAAAGCTTCCATTCCAATCGCAGCTCCATCGCCGAAGACCTCTACAAAACCTTCAGTTACACAGGCTACTAATTCACCTCCTCATTGAATTTCGCTCATTCTCTATTTGAGCCTCTTTTCCAGTAAAATTCAAACAAACTCCTTCTTATGGCAGAGGTGTGTTTCACAAAATTTGTGATTTATATCTCCACTATTGTTATGCATATATGATTAAGATTCCAAAGAGTGGTATTGTCGTTCAAAAATTGCCTTCAAATGTGTTAAAAATGCCACAACAGATACGGCCAGTTTGAAGACTCAATGTACTTGACTGCTGAATACAGGACTTTGGTCTGTATCAAAATTGTATTGATGTAGTTGTAACAATAGAGAAAAAAAAAACTGATTTGTGAATTATTGCATTACAAAAATCTGTAATCTGATTGGTTGTTTTGCTTTTGGCTTTCATTTTCATTGGCTCAGAAAAAGAAACAACTTGGAAGAAAAAATAACACGATTCATGAAGAAATCGTACTGCTGAGAGGCAATTAGATTGCTAGGATCAGCATTGAATTTAACATTTCCACGGTGAATATTTTTACACACCAGTTCTAAAATTTTCAGCATTCCCTCGGGATCCAACAGATACATCCAGTTTACAGTCTCCATTCTTAGCTTCCTGTTAACAAAGTGATGCACTTAGTTTTATATTATTTGAAATCCCTGGAAAACGAAACATGATAAAAACAAAAGTGCAAACATAACTTAATGCTAAAATTGATATTATATCTTACCACAGTAATGTCATTATGGCATTAGCAAACCGATTAATTAGCGAGCTGTTTTAGCTCTGCGCAATGTCTCGCTGCGACAGCTCACCTGAACGTACTATTAAAATAACTCCCAATCCTGGGGCGGATCCAGGATTGGTTCAGGTGGTTCGGCCGAACACCCTACAATGAAATGAAAAACATTTCAACACGTGCGGTTTCTGTCGAGTTTGATGGACACAGTATATGTTTAAAATAGCTCAAAACAGAGATTGTTTTCAACGGCATTAACCACAATCATCGGCTCAAAAAACCTGGATATTACCTTTCCGAGGATCTAGATTTCAAAATGTTCCGGTGGAAGCATGCCCCCGACCCCCTTGTATAGTCTCCCTTCAGCAGACGTTTAGCCGAGCCCCCGTTCAGTACATCCTGGAACCGCCCTAGCAATCTAACGGGGATATAATTTATAAAAACGTTCTCGCGACGGATGAACAAACAGTCCGCCAGTCAGAGCCAGAATGATTCAGTTGTCAGTAAGCCACTTAGGGTAGTTATTCAGCCGGTCAATCAGGCAGCTACCCGTCGCTCGGACGACCTCTCTGTCAGTAAGTAAGTCAGTCTGTCAACAAGCCAATTTTGTTTCATGAACTGAGTCGATGATGTAATTGGGCCACCGCAGAGAGTTCCTAAAGCTGATATTTCGAGTGGTAACCTTTCGTCTACTCGCTCTGGCGAAGGGCTGACGCGCGAAATGTCAGCTTTAAAACTCGCTTCAGTGGCCAATTTACAATATCAACTCCCCACCCCCACCCCCACCCCTCACCGATGCAGTACCACAGTTCCCTTAGAAACTTAACCCCTTCATTCATTTGTCTATGATGAGTCAGTTCGTGTTTTCTTCCATAACTTATAATCAGTCCGGCTGTCAGTTTACGTAAATTAAGACTTAAATTTTAAAGGATAATGATACTTTTCAGACACGACAGATAGAAATCTTCTTAAATGATATGGTGGCTACACACACGATTATCTTCAATAGTGAAACACTAATTATTCAAATAGGTTTAAAATCCAATTCGTTAGGCACTCAAGGTGAACTAACAACCTTTGTTGTCGTGAAGATGTCAGACATATAGACATTAGCTTCTCTATCAAGTTTAACCATCAACAAATGAAGTTTTCACCCAACCGACTGATATATAAACACAGACATAAGCAATTGCCCACGAGTTGTTTGACTGATTTATTAAACATAAGTCAATTTAAGACGTAACTCAAAAATTCGTTTGTTTCGTAATTGTTGGAGCATGCATAAGTAAATTTGGGAGCGAATTTGCGTGAAGAACAACCAAGAAAAATTGCACCTGATATAACAGAAAATTATACAAGATGAAATCTGCAGCGATATTAAAATGAATGGCAGCCCGGAGGTAAGTGAGTTCTGCAAGTATTCTTCAAAATTCATGCGGCCTATATCACTTGCAGTATGCTCGCAAGCATTCCAGACTTAATATTTTCGTCCCGGCGGGTAAAGAAGAATCCAAAAAGCAATTCAGCTTACAACAAGATTAACTAAATTTCATTCGATCAGCAAATCAGAGTAGGTAACTGCGAGCCTTACCTTGAGATAGAGACTCTGACTTTCGCACGACTCACGTCTATTTACCATTCGCTGCACTTACTCTGTATTCAAATGAGTGGCAGCGGAGTCTTGAAAATCTTTGAGTTAAAGTTCAGAAATGGAGCGCTTACGTCAGAAAAATTTTTCATGACGTGCAAACGCGCCACGGGTATCTCAAAGGACCGAGACTATAATGAGTTCAGTAACGATTGAAAAAACTCAAGACGTAAGCACAAATCTAGAATTAACAAATACCTACGCCAAAGAACGGGATTTTAAAACATGCTGTATATGAGACTTTCCATATAGATTCAGGGTCAGATTTTAACGCACGAATCGTAAATCAGCCCATCGAATTGTATTAAAATTAGAAGTGGAGACCACAGATCAGAGGAAGCGGAGCGTTTTGACAAGTGAAGGTATACATCGGGTTAGGGGCGTGCGTTTCTCTAATTTAATAAAACCCTTTTTTCCGTGGGCTGGGCATGAACACAAATATTTATAACAAATTTTTTTGGCATGAAATGGTGTCCCTATTTTATGACACAAATTTCCTTTCTTGGTCATTGCTTTCGCACTTTTTTCCTGTTTATTTAGAAATAATAAAGTATTTTAATGGACAACACAGCCTCTCAGAAACATCCTTCATTCGGTTTTATGTGCTATAACTAAAAAAAAAGAAAAAAAAAGAGTTTGACGATCCTCTTATTTTCTTCAATTTGCAGCGTTATTGAAGCTTTCCTTTTTTAGTTAACAAAAATCAAATTAATGACATGTAAAAGATGTAAGGGTCCAATTCGTCATAAAGGCTTTCCAGTCCACAAATCAGAGCTAACCAATTGGCGCAAAATGCATGAAAACTCCTGCTAGGAGAGTAATCTATCATCATATTCTTTTATAAAATAATTCAAATAGTACGCGCGCTCTGATTGGCCATAAAACCATTTTACATGAGCGTATGTAAACACGGTTTTCATTCCTCTTTCATTAGTTATTTTGTAAAAGAAATGTAAAATGGTTTCCGTGTTTGCATAGCCTGATGTAAACACTTGGGAGGTTGGGAGAACACTCGATAAACTGGAAACCACTCCGCTTCGCGTCGTGGTTTACGCTTATCTCGAGTTCTCCCAACCTCCCGCGTGTTTACATCAGGCTATGTAAACACGGAAACCATTTTACATTTCTTCACGGACAAACAGTAACTTAAATTTGCCGTATTGAGAGTAGGTTATTCTTTCAAAAAATAAATGAGAAACTAAAATATAGATTTCTATCGGCTAAGTTTAACTCTCACAGATGAAAAGTAAGCAGGTTATCGAAAGGTATTGAGATGTAGTGTCCAATTCACAATATAAAAGGTTTTTTTTTCACTTTCTCTACTTTTCTTGTTATGCGGTTAAAACCCCCGTTTTATTCAACTCGATCAGCACGTGATGATCGAGGGCAACTACGTAAGCTATCCGATCAGAATGTTGAATTTGGAAAAATTATCAGCCGAGTTCACTAACAACTGAATTTGTTTGACCTCGCTTTCTGTCAACTCTGCGAGGTAAATTATCTGCCAATAGAAATTTCAATCTCATTGCTCAACTAAAGAAGGGAATATTAACAGATTTTAGATTTCAAACTCCGTACCATCTGGAAAGTATAAGATCTAAATGGCTGACGATAGGGGTTAATAGCCTGTTACGTACGCTTTTTCAGCCATTGGAACCTCCTCTTGTAATTAAAATTCCATGAACCTTCGAACCTAATTTAAACCAGTTATCATCTTTTGTTTGAAAGCTTATTCAGGCTGCCATTTGATCAAAGAACACAAATTTAAACTTTTTACTTCCACTGCAGTTGCCATTTGAAAAAATTGTTCATACTTTAATCCAGAACGTGAAGTTTGAATAGCACACACGTCACTCATATGGTTGAAATTCAGCAGTCAATAAACGGATTTTCCCGTTTGCAAATGAACTAGAAATTCTGCATTCTTAATTTCCCGATCATTACACAACCTGTGTTTAAGTATGCTTATCATTAAAGCACTAACGACAGTCTCGAGCTTATATTTTAACACACCGAGTAATTACGGCTATTCGTGCCCAATATGAAAAACCAAAACTAAACAGGAATACAAAGTTATACTCTGAGTAGATTCAGTCGAAACTGTACATCATTAAGTACATCGTATTAAGCGGTCACCCTATATAAGCGGTCGGTTTCCAAAGTCCTCTTAATTAGTGTAATTTTCACACATATTAAGCGGTCGTGGCCCCCCTCGACAGAGTCCCAACAGCCTCATTGTTTGTATTGCCTGCCACTTATATTAAACGGTCACTGAGAGAGGAACCACTCAAATAAAACTAAGAATAATCTATCATGTGAAATCTAATTCATGTTTATCTCCAGACATCAGGGTTAGAAGTATTTTTTGAGCCAGTGTTTGTACATTCAGTGGTCAATTATGGCATAAAATAACGTTTTTTCATCGTTTTTTATACCCCTATTCTGTGGAACCTGTCATTAGTTATCAGCCCACAATTCCCCATGGGTGACCACTTAACACAGGTTCAGCTGTATTTCATAATTGCAAAGCAAAAGAAAGTCATGATCTCTCTTTAACATTATTTACATTTGAAACCAAAGATAGAGATTACCGACGGAGGTTCAAATTTTTAAGTTTCTTCTGTATGTGCGGTATCAAAGGAATGCGAGTCGTCTTAGAGATAGCATTAAAGTACTCTTGTAGTTAAGAACTGTATATTACAATACGTTTTGGAGTGACTTTTCACTACATATCTTTGTTCTCCATGGCCAGCTACACGCAGCGTATGCACAAAACGTGAACTATAACATATCATAATCAAATCAAATGATTTAAGCTCATCACTGTTAAGTTAACCTGATTTACAAATATCTACATCAGCGCATTCTTAAATACGTTAGAAACAATAGTTAAAACATCAGAAAAAATATTTCAAGAAGACATAATACTGAGCCATCGCAACCAAACATTCATATTAGAGAAGCATTTTCTACTCTCACCTGCTGTTTTACTTATTTCAAGAAAATTGTTTAAAGGATCTGGTAAAAGCTTAAATTAGATTACCTGCGCAACTAACGGCGACAGGCGGCCAGGGTAATGCCAGTTACTCAGTAAAAATAGAACCTAAAAATATTTAATAAATACTTCAATAATTGTCATCTCAAAAGTTACACTCGATTATCAGAACTTTGACACCTCAAAAGCAATTAAAAACAATGAATGATAAGACCCATCGGTTCTATGGGTATACAATTATGATAACCACACAGGGTGCACCTGATAAATGAGGAGGGTTATCTATACTTCTCTAAAAATAAAAAATATTATCGTAGAGAAGATTCAGATAAATAAATCACTGATTGAGGGGATGTACGAACACTGATCAAAGTTCATGCTTTCTAGGTGCAGTAGCAGATCCCAAGATCTCTAAAGTTCTTGCCATGACAAGATCACATAAGATAACCTCTTAACTGGCTGAATTTCTTTGTTCATGTAACTGAGTGTGTGAGGGGAAAGAGGGGAGGGTTTGCAGAGGTAGGTTGGTCAAGAAGGAATATTGGGTCACTCCTTTCGAAGCATTCCTGGATCCAACCCTTGAGATGTCAAATTCTTAAAATTAAACGTATTAAACGTTACACTAACATGGGTATTATGAGCCTCTGAATTGCTAAATAACCCCAAGTACGTATTCAGTTAATATTCTGCTCCAGTTGACTCCACAGGTTGACCATCATCATTATTATCTCCCTCAAATGATGTTTGCTGCTTTGCTGCCGATGTGTTCCTGTTCTTCAAGCAGAACAGTACAGTATCCACAGCAAACAACACCATTGTAATGATTCCAAATGCCTGACACACAAAAAGGCAAATATGAGTGTTACTGACCCAGTGAGAGGTCTAGATTGTACTATCAGTGGTTTCAAGCACAAACTTTTTCCACACTTCCCATCTGGCAACCCAAAACATGATATAGCTGAATAATTAAAAAAAATTTTTAACAGTGATGAAAATACAAGAAAAAAAGTTGGCTTTCTTATTTTTCCATTCTCAGTAATAGTGCAAGATCTTTCGTTAACAACTTTTCATACTTCAGCATAACTGAATGCTTCACCATCTTTTGAATTACAAAAGAAAGTCACTTTCCAACTCTGAAAGTTTCAGTCCAGTACCAGCACCAGTTGGAATATAATGTTAAAACCCAGCATTTTAAAATATGGTCATATCAATGTGTCTTTGCTGCCCTGAAATCTTTCCCTATCTGATGGCTCACATTTCCTTTATCAAGACATAGCTAAAAATGACAAAGAATACCTGTTATTTAACAACTAGGTGGTTAATAAGTGGATTCATCCATAAGTATCCACTGCTAGCCACTAACACCAAGGTAAATAGTTGTTTTATTATACACTCAAACAGCAAGATAATAAAGCACATAAAGATGATTTTAACTTATTATTCCTTCAAACCATTTATTCCTGCAATACAATAAAATGTTCCTGCCCAAATCCCATGCACCTTATGCCGAGGTGAACAGCACATGATATTTGGAATTTGAATAGCAAATCAGATTGCACCTTCAAGGCTATCCACTGTTTTAGTATTTACTAAAAGAAGCTACTACAACTTTTTCCAACCTTAAAACTTTATGCTTATAAAGAAAAATATAAACAATGCCATCACCAAAAATTCCCTTATCATTTTTCATACTGACAAAAGAGCTGAAAGCTTACCCCAGCTGCCTCAACATTGCCACAAGGTTCTACAGTGCAGACCCTAAAATACGCTCCACTTCCATCTTTGTTCTCAGCTCTTCTCAAGTGTATAGCAGTATCAAGGACAAGAGATGAGGCTAGTAACAAAAGAAAGGCAGTAACAGGGGAGTATACTGCCATCTGTTGAACAGATCAAAACAACCATGACAAGTCAGAGAGAATTGTTCCAAACATGTGTTCTAAGCTTACACAGCTGGAAAGACTTGGTATTAATCTACAAACACATTAAAGATGATAAATTTTTATGTCAGTCTTGCCAAGAAAGTTCACTGTTCCAAGATAAATAACTATAACTGTAGCTCACAAGCAAAAAAACCAAGGAGAGTTTTTCAATTTCCTTCACTTATTAGAAATGATGCAACATCTTTCTTTATATCATTCTAGTCACCAATCTCAAACTTTCACCCCATCTCTACACCTTTTTACAAACTACAGAACCTAAATGTACACAAGACACTTGCCACATGTCACAGGAAGTATGTCAAACAAAAATTACTGAGTTCCTGTCAGGAATCGACCATTACACCTTTAGATTCTGTGCCCTGATACTCTATCACAGAGCCACAAAGACTTAGTGATGAGCAAGGTGAATACTTGGTTCATTTCTGACATGCATACCCCATACTGCTACAATTAGCAATGTTAGTGGAGAATCCAACATGATCAACATCAAAGTAGGACCTTTATTTAAATTAATTTTGTAACTGGGCTTCCAATATAATAAGGAAATTCTGGTATTTCTTTTTTTCTATATTTGTTTCAAATGATTTTTATCTTAAGTTTGTTTATCATCCAGTTGTAGTTTCATTAACATTTCAGTAGAGATCAACAATCTGCTACAACATACAGTGTATTTATGAATTCCCAGAATAGCATCAGTTTAATTTATAGCATATAATCTTACTTTCATCCCTCTGAACCTCTACAATGTTGAACTTTCTTTCCTACAATTGTCAACATTGCAAGGGCATAGGGAGTTTTGCAACAAGTTGTGTTTGAGTTTATTTCAATAAGTCTTCTGCCTACAAGAATGTATGATACAGATGGAAGTCACTTCCAATTTGGTATCATTTAAGAAATTTCAGAAGGGCATTTTTGTGTTTTTTATATTCTGACAAGTTATCCTTGTGATGTTCTATTGACAATGTACCTCATGACAACTTTTCCTTGTACATGAAAAGAATGGGTCAGATGAACATAAAAATGATGCATGTACATGTATAATTGTAAAATCATAAACCAATTTTCAGGTGAGTGTCAAAAGAAATTGAGGATTAATCAATTGAGTTATTAAAATTGTGCTAGTTTCTCACACAATCCGATTCAAAACTAAAACCAATTGCATCTTCAAGTTGATAATTCAAGTTTCCCTTGTGGGCAGTTTGCCAATATTTTTACTTTGAATTCTCATCAGTTTTTGTGATATCTTCATTTGCTCTGATTGCCTGTTGAGACTAATTTGGTTTAGCTTACGCTACACTCAGTCAAAATGCACTTTATATCAAAGGTAAATGTGTACTTAATGATCACCAACTTACAAAAAAGTTCCAGTTGATAGCGATCCTCTCATAAAGCCGGAGCAAAAACAAGATGAACAGAAATATTACCACCAGCCATGATGTGATGGTTGCAAAGTAAAAGAAGTCAAATCTTCCACCATATCGAGAGTCGGTGTAATGCAGTGTAAAGCCAGAAAGGCAGGCAAATGCTAACAGAAGGCCAAGCTGGATGAGAAAAAAAGGCAAAGTTACTCACTCACCATGGCATGCACTCTTTAACTCTTATGAATTTCTCCTTACAATATAAATACAATTATATCAAGCGGACAAGAGATGAGAATGAAGAAACTTATGATCCATCAAATGTTTTTGCATGCAAGCCATTGGTCTAAATGCATCATGTGATTGAAAATGCCCTAGCTTAAACTCAGTATAATAGCAAAGGATATACCCAAAGTGATATTCACCAATTTTTAAACCTGAAGCCTACCATGGTAAAAGCATCTGTTCAAATTGAATCTAAGATGAAAGGCATTTAGTTACTGTTACAGAAGGGAAATGTTTGTTTGTTCATAAAGTAAGAACACTGAAAAGTAAACATCCATGCTGTAAACAGTAAGTTGTTTGTAAACATTTTCCCCACTTGTTAGAAAAATAATTGAAGGATTATAAAAATATGCACGGATAATTGTCCTTGGACTTAATCTGTTCCTTAGAGCTCACAGTTTTCCTCATGCTATGCTCTGGGCAAACTGTTTGCATCTCAGAACAGATAATACACAATGGTAGCAATTGTTCATTCATCAATCTGGGGATCATCAGTTGATCCAACACCAAATTCTCAAAACTGACATGTTAAAATTTTAAGGGAAAAAGAAAGGGATAGTAACTAGTGAGATTTTGGGAGTTAAAGGTTTTAACAAGGATTATGGTCTCAATTCATGAATAAATGGTCTCAATTCTTGAATAAAAGCTCTTGTAGCCTAGTGTGGATCATATTGATAGCAAATAAGCTATTTGGTATTGGGCTTTTTATACCTGCCCCTTCCCCCTTCACAAATTGTCCATCATGAATAAATTAAAAGCAGCGCTTCAAACATTCTTCCAGTTATAAAATCAAAACTGATCACTTGACCTGTTGTGTTAAAAAATGTTATCATCACGTACAATTTCCAAAATTTTAAGAAGTCCTGGTACACTTTTTAAGTAGTTGAAATCCAAACCAGTCTGTCTCATCTGTAGATTAGGGTCCTCCATGTTAAACTTTCTTTGCGCTTACCGTTATATGGCCCCAATCTAGAATTCAAGAGCAATAGAAATAAAGGCAATATCCTGAAAATTTCGCAATACTTGTATGCCAGGCTTTCTCAAGTTTATCTTTAAGGGATCTTGACAGTAGTTAGCTGTCTGTAATTTCCAGAAATAAAACATGTTCTTAAAATTGTGACACATTGGACCGAGAGGAAGTGCTCTTTCTTACTTTAAAGACAAATACATCGCTTATCAATCATTTAATAAACATTTCCGCATATGAACGCGCCTAAATATGAAAGTGGCTAAAACTGATACGCTTTCACGTTTGCTCAAACATAAAATTTGTAACTGTTGCAAAGTACTGTGAACTCGAAAATAACAAGATGAAAGTGAAAGAGTGTAGTTAAGGGAAACTCGACATGCATTCACTACTTTCCGGTAGTGCATTTTAAAGATGTCAGCTGTTCGTTTGATTGAACCTTTTCGGTTGCACTTTTGTTTGCCTCTTTCTTTCTTAGAGATTTTGACTTGCGACACCAGTGTGGATTACTGTTCCACGCACTTTTCTGGTAAATTTTCGAGTTATTATAAGGAAGAGTTATAGCACATACTAAATATAAAGTTCGGTATATTAAAAATCATGCAACTGAGAGCTTTCTCTGTGAAGAGCTTAAATTTTTCTTACGGGTGGAATTGCATCAAGTCGGAATTTAAATAATATACGGACAAATGAAATAATTTTAAGAGTGCAGAGTTTCTTACCCTAATCAAAGAGGAGGTTTGCCTCGGAAGTAATCAGATCCTTGTACAGATGATACCTCACTATACCATACACAAAATGGTCGAAAGGGCAGCGATGAGGAACTTCAAAATAAGTATATAAAACCTTTCCTAATTGGCCAAAAAATCTTTTGACCAATCATAGCAAATCTAAGAATTTCTTTCGGGTAAAAATAAATCATTACGGTTACCTCACTTCCATGCTTACGAAAAATGGCGGTTTTTTGGTAGTCACTATGCAAACTCGACAAATTTTTCATCGCTAAAATCTATCGACCGAAAGAAAACCAAATTTAATTGTGCGTTGCAATCAAGGTACTAATTACAAAATATGATGTCAGCTCAAGAAACGGCAGATAAATGTAAGATCATGTATGCACTGTGGGTATAAAATTTGAATATTTTTGGTCTTACATAAATTCAGTCGTCACTCAAAAATTTAGAAGTTACTCATGATGTAAGATTGCAATTTTTCATTTTTTGTAGCATGAGATCAGCTTATCACATGATCGGTGAATAATTCATCACCTGTAAATATAGCTACTAATTCTGTCCTGAGTTCATACAAACTCTGTTTTGCCGAATGTTTCTGGCGAAAATGTCACGACACCGCTTTTAGCTTGAATACATATATTCCAGTTAAGATCAATTACAATTAATACTTCTCAGCATAGGCTTATGCACTGTATCGTGTAAGCTTTCAAATTATTCTTAAGTTGTTGTTACTTGAAATCAGCTGATTACACGATCGGCGAAGAATAAGTATAACATCAATGATTGTAAATTTATTATTTGAAGGAAAATTCAATTTGCAATTCGAAGAAAAAAGTTCATGTTTTGAACATTGTAAATGTATCACGAATAAGACGAGTTTAAAGATTTACTCTACAGCACGCACCTATGAACAGTTACTGTCCAGTTTTGTTCAGTTCCTACTTCAAAATTTAATTATGTTCAAAGTCATGTAATATGAAATCAGTTGATCACATGATTGGTCAAAAATAGATAATCAATAACTGTCATTTTATTCTACCAGACTTTTAATTAAAAAAGGTTTCTTTTGTGTTAATATTTGTTTTCTAGTCCAAAAAAAAAGGTTGAAATTTAATTTGCCAGAATTCACTATACACACATATGCAAAATTTAGTTCAGTTATCCTTAAGACTTTGTAGCATGGCTTATCAATCCTTGTTCAAACAGTTTCAGGCTCAGACTCTTTCTTTCAGGGTCAGCTGACTTAATCCTGTGATTTATCATTTGCTTGAATCATCAGTTTTAATATTATGGTACTGAGTGAATTGCTTAGAAAGTGCAAATTTTTCAATAATGGAGAAAAATGTTTCTTATTTAATGTTTACACAGTGAACAACAGCCTACCAATTCATTTGACAGCTTCAAATGTACAGCAGAACCCAGAATTTGTAAAATTGTTAATGTCACTGACAAGACATCTGACAGACAGTGGCATGTCAGTTGCTGTTCATAAAGACATGTTACAGGTTAGAAACGGGCCAGGCACTGCCAGTCTCAATGCCTTTGTTTTTAGGGCAGTTTCAGCTGTCTCACTTTATTTGAAATTAATGATGATGAATGGTTGCCAATATTGATCTATCCACTTGTTCAAGCAAAGAAAATATTACCCAACTTCACCTTACTGGAATAAATAGCATTTTTTTTTTACTTTTACCACTGAAACAAAACCAAAAATTGAGATGTATAAATTAAACTAGTTCCTTTACAATAGAGAAATAAACATCTAATGTGCCAAAAAGGAGAAATATCACAAATAACATTTATAATGCACAGTCCTATTAAGGCTTAGAATGCTGAGAAAAAATAATTTTTCTTTCCTTCAATGAACAGGCTGAGGATGCTTTAAGAGAACAAAAATTGAAGTACCTTCAGATTTGGACATTGTACTCAGAGCTAAAGGATTTGTTGATTGAATATGACGTAAAGAAACAAGATGTTCATCCCAGTTCAGCCACATTACAAGTAAGAGGATTACTTGAAAATGAAACCTTGCTAGTTTACATTGTTTTGTTGCAAAATCAGGTGGATGCCAGTGTATTCTATAGCTGATTTCTAGAAAACATTGGCCAGAATTTTATCCTCATGGATTTGAGAAGTAGAATGGTGATGATAGATAGGCACCAGTAAACTGCTAGGGGAATGTGACATAAAGTAGGGGTACAGTTATGTAATCTGTGATGAATGTTCATCCTGCCCATCAAGAGTACCAGAGAAACTGAGATAACTTCTGGCAGCTATTGCTGATTAATTGAAGATGCTTTTTCTTTTCTGTGATTGATAGCTTTATGAAGCCCTGAAGGTGTCGCTTGCACAGGCAGAGGCACTTGACTACATAGATTTCCACCCTGAAGGAGGTGAACAATCTGCAACATTGCTTGGACTGAAAGCAGAACAACTACTTGCAGGAGAACATCAGAGAAAGTCCTTACACCAAGTAAGCTTTAGGTCATTTGTATGATTTTTGTTGTGGACATTGTGCATGTTGTGTTAAGTTTCTTTGTTTGATCAATTGAATGAATAACATAGTTTTCTTTTTTTGCTCAGTCTTTTCAACAGAGTATTATTCCTGAACTTGAGACCAGGTTGAGAAGCAAGTGTGAAACTTTAGCAAGTTTTCACAAACCAACAAAACAAGCTGGTATGAGTCACTACTTATTTCTTGTAAATGGACCAAGTTTGTGTTTAATGCCTGACAATATTATTCATGCATTACTTTGGCCATCTTTCAGAGAATGAACAGTTGTCTTTTGCTAAAGCTACCCAGTTACCAGCATTTCTTGAAAATGAGAAACAGTTGTTGGACCAAGAAAAGAAGCAGTTGCATCATAATCACATGCTGAGAGACAAACAGTTTACACAATTATATGAGGTTAAGTGTCTTTATTGGTTATTGTTCTACTTGATGTTAACCATAAGCCTTAGGTTGTTTACGTATCATAAAAAATGTTATTTATATTAGTGCCAATATAATCATGTTACAGTCTACTGAGGAAACATGTTTACTGTTATAAAGGGTTCCTAAGGTCAGATTCCTGTGTTGTTAATGGTGAACTTTCATTTATAATTTTTTTTTACTGTTTTTACATGGCTTTGAGGATAAAAATTGACATTAGCATGAAATGAAATCCAAAGTTTGGCTCTGAACCTCAGGTTTTACATATTGTTGAAAGGCTTAGTAGCAAAAACTAATGAGTGAGGAAGCCTGGGGATGCCTATTTGATTGTAAGCAGCAACTTGCTCTTGCAAAAATTCATCATTGTTTTGTCCAGGGTTGCTTCTGGAAAAAGGAAGAGAAACAATGACAAACTTGACTCGTGTGCTTCCAGGTCTTAGAAATGGATCTAGATCAAGGGGTGGTGGGTAGGGTCAGTAAGATTACAAATCACTTCACCACTTCTGCCCAGCCATTTATGTGGACACTTTGTTTTTTTTTTTTAATGTTAGGTTTTAATGCAGTCACTTCAAATTCTACAAAAACTAATGGCAGACCATCAGCTGCAGTCTCAAGCAAAACATGATCGGGTGATGGCAGAGTGGTTGGCTGCAAAGTGTGATGCTATGTGCCTGAAAGTCAGGTATTATTGACATGGGTTTCAGTTATTTAGCACAGTTGCACATGTTATCCTGCTATAATCCGCCTGCATGAGGTGCATATCGATCTCATCTCCAGGGTCCCTCTTCTTAAAGGGTGAGATAAAGGGAAAGATTGGGAACCAGTTTGATTGATTATGTGCAACTGTATTATTTGAAGCAATATCAATGAATTTTCAATTTGGGCAATGTGAAGGAAGAAAAAAAAATTATCAATTAGAGGATATTGTTTGATGTAATGCGTAATTCTCAGAGTGATATTTGTAAGGGATATATGGCAGACAGCATGGAGAATTGGAAAGAGGAGAAGGTTTAACAATGAGTTGAAGAAATTTCCTCTTATGACATCAATACATTTTCAAGATGGGCAATGTGAAGAAAGAAACATATCAACCAGAGGATACTGTTTGATGTAACACCTAATTCTCAGAACAGTCCTTATTGGAGATGATGGCACACCGCGTAGAGAATTGACAATTATATTTAGGAGAGAAATATTTAATCACAACTGTATGCTTCCTTCATAGAGTACTTCAAAATCAGATGATCAGGGACACATACACTCCTGAAGCAATTCAAGCTCTTAAAAGAATCAAGTATGTGTGCTTAACAGTGCTTTTATTAACATCTGTTGAATCTCTCAGTCTAGAAACAATTTTCAATTGAGTGGCCAAAATAATCTGGGATTGCATTGCTTTTGCTCTTCTTTACGCTGTGATTGGCCCAGAAAACTCGCGCCACTATCTCACCTAATCAGATTTTGAGAGGCTAAAACCAATCGCGACTTGGTCACCCGCGTTTTCCCGCGCTCGAGAAAGCGTGCTTGGTTTAATAGTAAGTACAGGTCTATTCTAATTGGCTTTTTGTGATATTTGTCTTTGGTTTGATTGGCTGGTTTGATTATTTCAGTTGGTTTTTTAAGACTCTAAGCCGAAATTCGCACTATATCGAACGTTATACTAAAGCTTTTGGCTAGGCTGATCCCAGCAGTATGTAGACGCCTCTCACATACATGTTTGAACTTAGTGTGTGCCAACACAGTGGTCGTTGGGCCTTAATTCTAGCCCGCCGCGCGCCAATTTTCCCGCGCAAAATTTCTAAGAAAAACATGAAAAACATCCGTTGTCACGTCAAACATGCAAACTTAACTGAAACTTTCTCAGAAATCTACAAAAATACTTTCCGAAAACAAAGTTTATTCCAAAGGCTAACGCTCGAGTCGTCGTTTTAAACTCTTTACGGTGGCCAGTTATCGCTGTCAACTCAGGTGATAATACTAAATTAAACTGTTATACTCTCCCACCGACGCTACACCACAGTTTCTTTAGAAACTTACCCCCTTCATTCGAGTGATCTGTAGGTCTGCGGTGGAGCATTGGACCGCGAATTGCAAGGGTCTGGGACATGCGTCCGTGAAGGATACTCAGACTTTTTTCTTTGTACGACGTTTGACAAAATTGCTAATATTTTTCTCTCTTCATATTCACCTTAGGGCCTCTTTAAAGGACGCCGAAGAAGAGAGCACTGCTGAGTTTCACCGACTTACACAAACACTTCTCGCTTACGAGTCAGTTGGACTGGGTTTTGATTCCCTTGTTCAGCAATACACTACACTCATGGCGGAGATTGACAACAAGAAATGGGCGCTGAGCGAACTGCGACAAAATCAAGGAAGCGAGTTGGACGACTTGTGGAATCAGCATTAACGTGAAAACAACAGAACGGCGTTCAACTTGAAAAGAAGGTTTCAGCCAAACTTCAGCTTCTTTGTGAAGCAGTTAGCGCGATCACGGAAATGAAAACATCTTAAATTCTCAAATTAAAGAGATATCTTCCCTTTCATAGATGAGATGTCAAAAATTGAATTGGACGTGAACCTGTTGGAGAACGTTGTATGACAGACTTCTTATATTGTCTCCCTGCAGCAAAGATTATTCATTTTTAGAATACTTCTCTTCACGAGCCGATGATATAGGTCGCGAAGTTTACATTTCCAAACTGACTCGAGATACGAATTATGCTGCAGCTACTTTAAATATAAGTTTGAATATATACGATTTCAGTGACCCAGTTACTTGTTCGTGACTTACAATCAGTGTTTCGAGATTCATCTTTCTAAAAAGTTTTTCCTTTTAAATCTGCATGGTAACTTCAGAGCCACCTTAATTTTTCGATAATCTCTTCAAGTTTACATAAGATAAAGTGCAGTGGAATCGCTATAACAGAGAATTGCTATTTGAAAATAACATGACCATTTTGAGCCACCTTACAGCATATCAGGAAGATGCGATAGCTTGCAATAGAGTTTTTTCCTTTGAAAATCTCGGTTGTTGCAAAACCTCATTCTCTTAACAGTTTTAACATTCCTCGAGTTTCACGATTTATTGAAAGTGTTCCCAGTTAAGAGAATTACTGTGCACACACATCTTTTAAAATCTGCATGGATAACGTAATGAAATCTTCTGCTTGTTCTTTTGTGGTAACGTGTGGGAAATATTCCACGGCCCAGTAAAGTTTACCGTCCACCGTCAGGATGTTGTTACCGAAAACGTGGCCCAGTCTCTCTCCTCTCAGACCAAAGTACATTCCGGCAAATTTGAACGGACACTCCCCACCCTGGCTCGTCTGGAGGGCTCCGCAGTTAGTGATAGTGATGATCTGGCTCCTACGGCCTTCGTTATTTTCATAATTGTGTAAATTGCAATAAGCTTTGCTACCAGAACAATAATAAAGCTTCAAGAGGTCGAGGTGCTTCCCAGAGTCTAGCTGCCCGTGTACCTCGCGAGTACACGTGCGAGCAAACTCCCAAAATCCAACTTTGTCATCGGGGTAAGCCAAGGGAACTAAAATTGATAAAGCACTTGCGGTAACATAGGCTCCAAACTCAAAAGTTTCAACTTTTGGCTGGCAATCTTTGCGTAGACTGACTGTATAGATTGAATCGATGCAGACTGGAGTGTGAAGATCGTGTTTTTTCGTGCAGAGAATTCGCGCGATCGCTTGGTGCGTGGAGGCGGTTATGGCACCGTGAACTGTGCACTTGTTGGCTTTACAGTTCTTTAGCAGCAGCTTTGTGTCTTCTTCAGAAAAACTTCGACCAAGGAGGCAGGTTTTCTTCGATACCGACGGATTTGAATTGACAACAGGGGGGTAAACTGAAAGGTAAAGATTATTTGGTTTCATGAAGAAGGTTTTCGCTCGCTGAAGTGCGAAAAAGCTCGAAATTAACACTTTCTCCGCAGTGCTTGGTTCGGCTCGATTGGATAGCAGTGATTCCAAGGGGGGTCTAAGGGGCAAGCTTTCAACTTCAAATTCTTCACTATGGTGGAGAGCCGCTAAAAATTCCACCAGTTTTTGCTGAAGCTGGAAGACAGAAAGTGCGTCGCAGATTGCATGTTGGAATGTGAACAGTAACGCGTAGTTGTATTTGCCTTCGTGGACTGATTCTTTCAGTAGCCTCACTCGCCATAGAGGACCAATGTTAGTGTTGAACAAGGGGCCATCTGTTTCCTTTTCGAAACCTTTTTCCCATTCATCAGCAGTTATCTCGTCCAATACTCGAAAGTCGACTGTTTCTGGGTTTTCCATTTCTTCAAAGTATGGTTGACTGCCGCTCTCGTTGATTCGCATCCGTAGCAAGGGAAATCGTTTGGGTAGCAGACTAAGGGCTTTCCGCAGATGATCGTGAATCAGTTCTTCTTCAGAAGTCAGTAGCAGCACAGAAGTAATAGTCCCCCAATGATTTATTTTTTCTCTGTCGAGCAGCACCCGCTCTAACATGCCAAGAGGTCTTGAATTAGTACTCTCCGCCATGAAATCGTGCTGTTTCACAAGTTACTGTGCGATCTTCAAGGCTCGTAAGTCCCTCTTTCTTGTTTTTGGCCGTTAGGATTTTTTTTGTTTTTGTGGGCACCTTCAATAACTTTGATTTGTAATGATCATTGGTGTTGTTTTGGAAAAAATAAATCCGTGCGCGCGTTACTTCGTGATCTTCTTTACTGTGCTGTCTTGTGTTTTTGAAAAACATCGATGACGTCATAAGCGTTCCAATATCGAGTTTATTCACGACCAGTAATACTTTAAACCATTTAGATTACAACCAGCAGTCTTTTCTTGTGATTTCCCCAAAAACCGAAAAACTCACCCCGTCATCGAGTAAGTAAAGCTACAAAGGCCTCGGTTAAAGTTTCCGCATACCCCCATACTATTGTAAAACAGATCTGTTTTCCTAATGGCAATTTATTGTTTTTGTCATTGTTTTCTCTATCCAATTGAACTGAATGCATAATGTAGTATGGGGTTGTGCGGAAATTTTACCCTCTCATATTTAATAGAGCTTGCCACAGATTTTCATGGAGCTTTGCAGATTTTTTCGTCAAAATTATTCAGGCGTCCAGGATGATTCGTTTGTTTGAAATAAGAAATTCTGAACTTGATATTCCTTTGTCAAAGTTCACAATATGATGGCGAGGTCTGTTCCCAATAACGGCGGGATGTGAGGGCATAATAATGATGTAAATTTATCTCGTCTCTTTTGTCGTGTCTGGTCCCTTTGGAACTCTTAGTCTTAGGTTTTCAATTTCGGACAATAGTTAATATGTCTGCTATTTATATGCAAATAAGGTAAAGGATCAAAGTAATTTCAAGAACTGGCCCGCTGCATGTAAGTCTCGCTTTAGATTTGATAGTTTGTCAGAGACAGTGTGATTACTTGCGTGACGTGAATAGATGTTTCAGTATATCATCAAAACAGTCTGATAATATAGCACAAAAATACGTTTTTACCCATTTATTTCCGGACGTAAATCCCGCATAAGTTCCTAGGAGGTGAATATCTAAGTTCAGAGTTTGAGTAACCGATCAGTTTTCGTATGTACTACTGAATATACAGCCCAAGTTTATCAGTGGGGATCGTTGCGTGACATTCCAAAGAACGGTTTGTCGTTAATTGATCAGATTGAAATGACATTGAATGAACTTTCTACCCTCGCCAAGGATAAAGGAAGTTTTACGCTTATCTTATGAAATAGAGAATACCCTTTCTTGCTATCAGAAAGTATTTTTACACGCGCCTGTACACGCCCATTTGAAGACGCGTACGAAAGATGGCATTAAACCTCAGTTAAACTCAATGAATTGCACTGGGTGAGAAAGAGATACATCTATATCATCACAGTTAGCCCAGGCTGGTTGTAACAGATGGACCCGTGTCAAACTTGGTTTCTAATATACCTACCAAACAAGGCAGGTTCTGGAAACTAAGGTAAATATCTTGACGGGTGATGGTCTCATACCCTGTGTTCACTTGCTAAAAATACATCTGCATCGCAGACTACCAGATTCTCCAGTGGTTCGTCATCGACCGTTTGATGTCCGCCTTTGATTTTCAAGTAAGTCAATCGCAACAGGTTGGAATCTTCTTTAAGATTTAATAAAATCAAAAAGTAACCAACGATTTTCAAGAAAAAAAATAAGGTTTGCAACTTTTTTAAAAATTGGTTGAGAAAAAGGTTGTCACCGTTGCTGATTTCTCCCTAAATTTATGTTCCAGAATGCCGGAGTTGGCTCTTGAAGTTTTTTTTATGAATATTCTTGGTAATTCGTTTCTGTATTATACATCATTGAAGAGATGAACATATATTTTTTTTCGGTTTACTTTTTCAGGGCGAACTTTTATGATAATGTGGATTCAAGCAACTTTCCCAATCCTTTTATAAACAACACCGCCATCTTAAGAGGGCGTAAAAAAGAAAATTACGTTGCCCGGAACAAGTAAACAGAATGGTTCCTGCTTTACGGGCTTTAAAATTTACCATTAAGGGCGACTATCATGAAATTTTACGCCCCTTACTTTTTCCTTAAGACCAGTTATCTGCCGTTAGCTTTTCCGTGAATGGCATCCCGCGCACGTAACCTAAAATAGAGGCTTACAACACACCACTGAAGCAATGAGTGGCGGCCGGTCTTACATACTAACGTATTACGGGGCGCGGGGAACTTTTCCTATCAAAATTCAATATCACTCTTTATTTTCTTAACAGAGTGCAGAACATAACAAAAATTTTGACATATGGTATGTAAACAGAGTGGGAAAGGAAAGTATTTTGAGCCAAACCTCAAAAAGAAAACAAAGACTGGGAAAAAGATTTCTTGCCCCAATGTTAGAGTTGTCATGAAAGACTCCCCGCTGTAAATGATGTGACTTGATTTCCTGGGCTCTTCTTAGCTATCCATATATGTTCTTTTAAGTGTACAACAAGAAGACTGAAGGAAAACTGTGTTAGTTTTAATTTTAAGTGACATTGAAATATATATCATATCATCATCAAATATGCGAATAGTTTCGTAAACTTTGCCCCGTTTACTAAGGATAGAATTCTAACGAACCAGACTCAATCAAACTGTTTTATTCCACTCTCGTATTCGCTTATTTACAACGGGTGTGTAAAAAGCTACTCTTCAAAATTTGTAAGAAATCTCTCTCCTATACGATATTGTTTACATTGTGATTGGTTGTTGCTAAGTACTGATTTAAAAGGTCATTCAAGGTTGCCTTGATTATGTAAACCGATCAATGTCCCAAAATCACTTGCTTCTAGCTCTTGACATAATGTTCACACTCATCAACTGACATGTGTCACGACGGATGACTGAGTCTCCGACAATAGGAACATAAAGAACTACCATGGCTAATATTCCGACCATGAAATACGCAAAAAAAAGCAGAAAGGCATCCTGTGCACGAAGCTAAAAATGGCAGCTTACAACACACCACTGATAGCGGCATTTCACACCCCCGCTACACGCTCGGACTTTTCTATTCAAAATTCTATGTCACAAGTTATTTTCTTAAAGGAACACATATCATAACAAGACATACAAAGTGTGGTAGACAAACAGACTGGTGAAAGGAAAACATATTGAGCCAAACCCCAAAAAGGAAACAGAGATTAGAAGGAAGATCTCTTAAGTCATTATTTTAGTTGTCACGGATGACTCCCCGTTGTTTCAGGTGTCACTTGATCAGTCCCAAGTCCTTATTAAACCATGCTCTTAAGTGTACAACAGGGAGGCTAAAGGATAATTGTGATAATTTTTAATTTTTAAGCGACGGAGAAACGTATCTACATTACCATCACAAAATATACGAACAGGAATAATATTGTCATAACATAGATCCTCAGTCCTGAAGTGTCACGTCATACGCGAGCTCTGTCCCACGCGCTTCTCGTGTTTCCTGTAGTGTTCCTCGGAGCGCGTCAGACAAGCCAAAGTGTGTGTTTATTTATGGAGAAAGTGTTTTCGAGAAGGTTATATCACACAATAAATAATCACATTGCACGTCATACTGTTATAAGCGAAAGCTATTGTTTATTAAATAATATTCACACTGTGACGAACTATTAATTAACATGACACTAAAGGTTAGATTTTTAAATAGCATCAATTTACGCTTGGAATTCTGCCTAATTATAATGTTGACGGGCATAACATTACTGCTTTCGACTTGTTTCGGAGTTGTCATGACAACATACACATTTCTTTACCATCCAGTTGTACGTCTTTGTTCTTTTCACTATCGCAAGTCATAGCAATTAAATTTCCATTAGTTTTTATTCCACTGATACTAGCGGTGGAGCATACAGGAGACTGCTATGCTTCACCCTGCACTTCTGTCAAAAAGCATTGGTTAGTCTATTTTGGAGTATTATGTTACATGCTGGTTAAATAAATTGCCCGCATGACATTGTGAAGTGCTGTTTAACACCATCACTTTCAATTGTTATTCTTCCTGATTGAAGTCTGAAGCGTTTTTAATTGTTTGTGATTTAGGATCAGGTAATCTTGCAGGAAAGCTGTAAGGCCAAAATTGGACATACCTTTAACGGACAAACTGGAATAGTCACAGATTTTTTCGCAAACAGAGACTTATTCAAACTTATCTGCATGTACAATTTGCGCAATAGTTTTGATACGTCTGACTTGCATTCCTTTGTCTTTCGAGTTTTCATTACTGAATGGATATTTGAGGTTATGCCCATGTATAGACATGATTCGGCAGACGTATTATGACGAGGTTTTATTAGATGACGCAAAGAGACAGTGAGAAGTGTCAAATGCATTTTGACTTCCGCGCTAAATTGTCAACAACAGGACCACAAAGCCTATAAAAGTGAGAGCGCACTTGTTTCGTGTCAGTTTGAATCGTGAGACAAGCTGAGAATGGAAATTCAAAATCAAAAGACGAGTGCCCCAGAAATCTTTGAGATTTGGGACATTTTCGAGTCCTACATAGCATCAGTTATCATTTACGTTTTGATCTTGGAAGCTCTCGTTGCTGTTCTATTCTTCCTTAAAATGAGAGATGCTCGCGAGCCAACCGTAAGGCACTCACGGCGGAGAAACGGAAAACTCTCCAGGCCTTTGGGCTCGTTGGAACGTGTGTTGCTGGAGAGAGAAAGAGTGAATCATTGGGGAACTGTGTCTTCGGTATTACTCCTGGATTCTGCGGAAAAACTTAAACAAGATCACTTAATAAAAGCCCTCGGCCTGCTTCCCAAACGATTTCCCCTCCTGAGGATGCGAATCAACCAGAGCGGCAGTCATGAGTGCTTTGAGGAAATGGAAAACCCAGAAACAGTGGATTTTAAAGTCCTTGACGAGATCGCGGCTAATGAATGGGAGAAGGGCTTCGAGGAAGAAATAAATGGCTCTTCTTTTAACACTGACACAGGTCCTCTGTGGCGACTCAGGCTGCTTAAAGAGACACTTCACGTAGGAAAATACCGGAACGCTCTAGTGTTCACATTTCATCACGCCATCTGCGACGCCCAGTCCATTTTTAAGCTTCAACAACAGCTGCTGAGTTTCCTTTCTTCAATGCACGATGGAGAAGACTTTAAAGTCGAGAGTCTGCCCCTCAGACCTCCTCTTGAATCGTTGACATCAAGTCTCGTTAAACCAAATATTTGGGAAAGACTGTTGTTTAAGAGTGTATTTGCCCTCCAGCGAGTGAAGAACATCTTTGTTAAGCCAAAGAACTTGTATCTGTCGTTCTACCCTCCTGTCGCCGATTCCGATCCGTCGGTGATGAAGAAAACTTGTCTACTTGGTCGCAGTCTGTCTGAGGAGGATACCAAGCTGTTAATAAAGAACTGTAAGTCCAACAAGTGCACTGTGCACGGCGCTATAACCGCTTCCACACATCTGGCAATTACGCGACTTCTACAGAAAAAGAAACAAGACTTAAACGCTCCGGTCACTGTCGAATCGTCTTACTCCGTTAGTTTACGGAAGGACTGCCAGCCACAGGTGAGCAGCGATGATTTTGGAGCTTTCATCTCCGCAAGTGTGTTATCCATTCCAGTACCCAGTGTTGACCTCACAGATAAGCGAGGATTTTGGCAGTTTGCGCGCGCGTGTGCTCGCGAGGTACACACGCAGGTGGATTCTGGAAAACATAGGAACGCTCTGAAGTTTTATCAATGCATTGACATTAGATCGTACTGTAAAATGTCCGATTATAAGCACAACGAAGGCCGTAGAAGCCACATATGTAATATAAATAATTACGGGGCTCAGAGCACTAATCTGAGTGAAGAGAGTCTTTTTAAGATTGCAGGGTCGTATTTTGGTGTGCAAGGCGCGAAAACCAGTCACATATTTGGCAACAATATCATGACAGTTGACGGCAAGCTTTACTGGGCTGTAGAGTATTTTCCACATGTCACCTCTAAAACACAAGCAGAAGATTTTACTGATTTAACCTTGGAAATTTTAAAGGGGGCTTCTGTTTGATAGCAGTTTAATATTACAAATAAATTTTGCGCAAGCTAAAATTGTGTAGTTGTTTATAGTTATTTATTCATCAAAAGTTTCTTCTACCGTTAAGGGCTGAAATTGTAAAGAGGTATTTACATTTCAGCGTAAAGCAGTTATTTAACTTGTTGTTTCATCGACGTCGTCTTTGCAAAACTTGCGGGGTGTTCACGTATAATAGCTTAATATCAACAAAAGAAATATATTTTGTGTAAATTTAACCTTAGTCATAAGAAGAACACATCAAGATTTGGTATGTACATTTCAGTAGGTTCGATTTTGGCGAAGATATTTGAAATAAATAAAATATTAAAACACAAATTTTGATATTGTTGTCTCTTTTCGCATCGCGTGTCTCCACAATGTTTGTCAAAGCGGTCAAGGTTATTTCCTTCAAACATTATACATAAAGCGGTTCCGTTTCTATCATCCTTCAAAAGGTTTTTGCTGTCATATCAAACCCACACTTGGCCAGCCGGAAAACTAGCTACATAAATGTGTGCACTCTTAACGCCCCTGACATCGTGTCAAAAGTAATACGGGATAACCCCGGACTGAATTGGTTTATTTAACTGCGCTCTGTAGTTGGTTAAGAAATATTACACTCAACTCTTAGTCATTCAGAATGACGCAAAACTCATACCCTGCGCAACTTGCTCGCTTCCTTATAATTGTATGTACTTTGGGTCTTCACTGCTTCTTTCGAATTGTGTGCATTGGCTTCAGTTCAACGACTTTTCCCGCCTTTTCACGCTGCATGCGGAAACTTTAGGACTGGCCCGAGTGTTGCACGGCGAGTGAAGGAACGACCCCTGAAGCAGACCCCGGGAAAAAGTTCTGCTAAGTAACTGTACTGACTTGTTTTTATTACTTTTTTTTTATTTGAGGTAACTAGCTTCTCATTTGTACGCAGCGGGTATCCCTTCGCAAAGAAAAGCAAGGACATTTTTATTTCATATTCCCAGTTTCTGACAAAATCATCAGAATAATTTGATAATGGTCAATTCCGTATACAGATCATTTGGGATGAGTAAATTTTGGTGACCAGACCAAGGGAGAAACCAGCCCTCATTAATAGACTACATATTTCAATGCTGCATTTGTACAGCTTTTTCTGTACATTCCTTAGATAATTTCTCTAAACAAGAAATGTTCCAGCCGTGGCCGTTCTTCTGCCTGCAAAAAAATTGTTCGACGACAGTGTTGTCCCAACACATTTCTCAAAATGCACAATACCAGATTTTCTACATGCCCCCTGTAAGAATTAGTAAGGCTGAGTTCTTCGTTGTAAAATCATCTTCTTCTACTGATACTCAGAGAACACGATTGCAGTGTGGTCCATTGAGCACTGCATGCAGTAAACTACTTTCATGCTGACTTTATAGAGGGTAGTTCGAAAAAACGCTTCGCAGAGGAGAAGTGAGGATGACGAAGACAGTTCCATCTTCCTACTGTCAAATCAAACCGTTGAAGGCGTGTTTCATACGAGGAAATCGCTCTGAAGAAGTCTTTCGACTGCCAAAAGTATTTTGGCTTGGTTCCTACGAGTAAGCTTCACAAATCCGAATAAATTTGAACTCCCGCTTTAAAATATGGTGATCATTTGATTCGAACCTGGAGCCAGTCCATTTGAATTCAATGCAGTTCCTCTGTTTTTTTATCACTCTCACATTCTGATCACAAGTCAAGGTTTCGTGACACAAGAGCAACAGTAACGAAAGGTCTGCTACCAAACTCTTTCTCGTCTCATTCACATGGAAAAATGGCGACACTCCCTTTCATTTATATCCAACGTTTCGCTGTACTCAGAACATAAATAGCCATTGTACCCACAGAAGCTGTTAATGTCCACACAGCGAGCTTCATGTAAGGATTTGTTTGTGTCGCCGATTGGAAATTTTGTGAAACTTCGAGTTCATTGTTTGTGTAAAGGGCAAGCTGTTTTTTCCTTTGTCTCAGAACAGAATCAGGTCTTTGGTCTCCTAACTCTCGTATAAACTGCTTGTGCTTGGCTACGGTTATGCTAAATTGAAAAAAAATCACTCGTACATTAAAGAGAAAAAAATGATGCAAGGTAAACATTGGAGAATTCTTCGAAAGGAACTTGTAAGTACCACACGATTTCTAAGGAAAAAAGAAAATCTATATAGAGAGATAAAACTCTGGATATTTGAGGTTGCGGATTTTGTCGTCACTTGTGATTTTATTTACTTAAAAAAAAGGATCGCTGGACAAATTGACATGTCTCTCGTTTAGAGACTACAGAGAAATACTGGAGAATTTCCCTAACAAATCAACCCTTAAAATGCAGATTCTTGTATTAAGCAGAAGAATCGATGAAGAAAACTGACAAAAGAAATCAACAAAAATTAAGATGATGCACAGAAGAGCGTAAATTCTTCTCGACTTATGAACACGCAACGTTTCAATTTACAACTAAAAATGTAGCTACAGGTTCTGAAAAGGACTGTTGTCGATGACCATGGCAGTCGTTTTTAACGTTGCAAAGCAAAAAACACCAATTACCTTTCTTTAAGATAGCGGTCAACAGCTCCAGATAGCTTTTCAGGGGGAAATTTACGGAACAGCGAATGCGCAGTGGTGATAAGTTCTTCAACGTAGTCAGGAAGATCATCGGGAATTCGAGAAAGAAGATGGTGTACATAGCTCATTTCACATTCGCCGGCCAGCACTTCAGAACGACGCCGGATCACAAGCTAGTAACAAAAAAGTTTAAACATAGATTAAAATGAATGTTTCGTTTCTTTTCACACTTGCCTTGGCTGAAAAACCTACGTGTAGTTATCGCTCGCACGAAAATCCTGCGGCAGTTTTAGCTTGTGGATTGACATATTTCTTCAAATTTGCGAAGTTCAAGGTGACTGAACTGGTGGGAACTAATTTTTGCGGTTCTTTTTCCATCTCGTTAGGAGAACCTAAATAAGGGAAAAAAACCGAGATATTTTTAGATGGCCGTCGAGTGATGAGTGTATCAGGTCATGTTATAAATACTCCGACGTTCCCTTATTGTATCTTCTTTACTCCTATTAAAGCTACGAAACCGTTTAAAGCGTGGGAAAATGCGAAGGGCCGACTCACGATTAGTTTGAGTTTTGATGCTGATTGAATGAGAGGATGTCGAGTTTTCTGGACCAATCACAGAGACACAATCATACAAACTGGGTACAAAATTTCACTAAAATCTACTGGTAAGATAAAGAAGGAGGACACAGCAACTCACAGCGGCACCGAAGTACACAGGCATAAGAGGATGGGTGGCCAGAAAGAAGTCATACAGGCGCACTATGGTGGAAAAATCCTTCAACACGTGACCATACCACGTGATTAGCCAGCTGAGGGCAAACACCTGTCCCACTTCAGACCTTGTCAGTGTAAGGAATGAATTATTACTAAATTTGTGATCATCATTTTTTCGCAATATTATGCTAGGTACTGCAATGGAATGTATTGTGGTATTGATATATTCACAGTCGTGCAATGGAGTGTGGTAGACATGGAGGCCTTAAGGTTAGAGCAATCGACTTTGGATTAAAAGGACTGGGTTCCAGCTCTAACCCAGGGGTTAACCTAACCAAGGTCATTGTGTTCTTGAGTTGCGCATTTTTCACGAACAATGTCTCTCTTCATCCAAGGGTAGAGATGGGGGTACCAGTGATGGGCTACCACCCTATCCAGGAGGAGAATTACTACTTAGCAGCTTGGTGAAGTCCAGAAATGTGGATCACTTGGCTTGTGCCCCATACTTTACCTACTCTGTATACCTTTTGGAGCCTGAAAAGTGATCTTGTCTTACAAAAGACATGTAACCAAAAGTCGAAACCGTAGGGGGGGTCTCATACATATGTATAACTAACAGCATAATATAGCAAGTGGATCACAAGGGTGGAAACTAAGGAAAACAATTCACTAGGGTGAAGTTCATGATTTCCAGGCTTGGCTGCTGAAATAAACTAAAATAACATACCTGACAAGAAATTCCCTCAATTCTGGATCAGCTTCTTCAATAATGGGATGCAAAAATGCCAGCATTTTAGTTGTCTTCTCCATTGAACCTTCCATGAAGTCCCTGAAACAAAAAAGCACAGATGCCAACAGAAATAACCACCTGAAACAGTTTGGTTTTACATGTACTATTGGAGAAGATTGTAAAAGGAAAATCACTGAACAGTAAAAATGTCAAAGAGGTATTACACGCAAAAAGAGCTACAGTTGAACTTCAAGAAAAATGCAACTTTTCAAACTATACCAGTGGCTTTTGCTGTTGAGCCACGTCCTGGCAAGCTGACTGCTACATTTCAGTGAACTCTCAAGGAAAGAAGCAATGGCTCGGTGTTTAATGGACTAAAGTCTAGATGGAGAGGTCCTGGTTTACCACTCAATAAATATTCCAACCCATGATAAAAAAATTCCTTGTTTTGTCAGTTTACCTCAGTTGATGAAGAGACAATTGCTCCAGAAGAGCTGTAGCTAACTCCTCTCCAGCTACAAGCAACAGAGTAACAGCCACATCATGGTAACCCTTTCAAAATGATAATCAAAAGTATTTGATTTATTATTATAAATGTTGTAATCTACCCAAAAAAAAGGGGCATCTATGCCACTCAAAACTCATAGGTTCCTCCTTGTGTATATGACTTTAACATACATAATTGCCTTGATAAATAACAAACAATTTTTATCATTATTTATTATTCATAAATAACAGCATACCTGATAATAATGCAGATCCTGATTTCTACACAATACTCTCATGATGATCCTCACCAGCTGCTCTTGAAGGGTGCGACGCCTTGATGCTCTCATCTCTGATACAAAATGAAAGTAAGAAAACTGTAACCAGAGGTCTGATTTTTTTACTGTACATTGGGTAGTTGAGAAAGATGGGATGACAAAAAGAGTCTTAACAAACTCTAAGCCACATTATAAAACAGTCCAAAACTACTCACAATAGATTCAAAGAGCATGGGAGCACTAGTAATAACTAAACTATGGGTATCTTACATTGCTATTAATCAAAATATCAAAGTTACTGTAAAGGAACCATTAAATTGACAAAAAAAATCACATTGAGACATTGTATAAAGAGAGTGCATAATTATTGATTCACCTATTAGAAATATTTGACAGAAGAAGAGAGGAAACAGCAGAATACAGGCTACATGATTGAGGACATGACCAAGATTTTCCCAAAGAAACCCCAAGTGATTGGGAGGGTATGCTTATGCCCAGTTTCCATTTGATCACCAGAATAGACCCAATTGCCCTGAATTTTAGTGTATTTGAGATGAGAAATCTAAACCCTTAGACACTGCAAGTGTCCATATATGACCGAAAAATAAGCTTCAGCCCTGATACCATTGTACAACTACATGTAGCAGTCAAGTAACTTACCAGAGGGAAACCTCCTGTGTGATCGATCAACATCTAAGTTTACTTGTCTCCAGTACTTGTGTACTTGAAACTGTTCCAACTCAGAATTGTCTTTGGGAAAAATAAATCTTTACAATACAATCTTTGTCACATTCTCAGGGGATTTAATATGTTTTGAAGAAGATGGAAACAACTGCCAAGTTCACAGCGTTGGGCAGTTTGACATTCACTCTTATGTTTTCAATTTCAGAGAAAGTAAGGGGTTATTTAGCCTGGCACAGATGGCAAATTTTTCAGATACTGAATCTTGTTGAACCCCCTGTCTTCCTGTAGCTGTATCTTACTTAAAGAATAAAATCCCAGAAGTGTCTCAGTGGCAAAACACATAAAAAGCTAAGTCCCTTGCCAGATTTCACACGTCAGACAGATCTGATTTCACAGTTGGATGCAATATCAGCTGAGCAACAAGAAAATGTTTTCAATTGGTGAATTTGTACATATACTTGGTTTGCATATTTTTACCTATCTTCTTGTCTTTGTTTCTTGAAATCTCCAGTGTATTGACATTGAGTAGTTTAGACCACACTTTACACCTCAAGTCTACAGCAATGTAACCATCAGCTGTGATGCTCAGGTCTTTCAGTGATGGCACATCCACTGGGTCTGAATCTAAAGCATCTGTTATCCTGCGAATCTTACCTCGCAGACGGGCCTCTGACACTGCAAAGGAAATTATAACAGCTACATAAGATACCGTATTTCCTCTGATAAGCTCCCAGGCACTTATTTAAAATTTTGGCAATAACCCTTTAACTCCTAGAAGTGATTCACATGTAACTTCTTCCTAAAATATCCATCTGCTAACCAGCAAACAGGTAATGAGAGTACTCAAATGTATAAGGTAGAAGTTTTTATCTGGATCTAACACCAAATTCTTGCAACTAATTTACAAAGAAATGTGTAGCAGCTAGAGGGGAGAATCAACAATCACATCCTGTGAGTTGAAGGGTTAAGGGGGTGCTCAAGGGGGGTTCTTATTATTCTCCTGTACCAATTCCACCATAGATGAAGCATACAAAGTTTTAAATTAAGTGTATACCTATTGTTTAAGAAAGTTACTGAGGAGAGGGAGTGTTTGTTTGACATTATGGGGGTGGTGGGTGCATATTTAGGGAGGGTGCTTATTAGAGTGTTGAGGCTTATTCAAGGAAATGCAAAAACTAAAAATATTTCCCTCAAGTTAAAATGAAACCAATCATGTCAACCTGTGCATATGTGTGATATTTTCAGCTTATGAATTTAAGTTGTAAATTCAATGTTTGTTGATTCCTGTTTATCTTTGTTTTGGAATACTTCTCTTATGCTTTGTGCAAAGGAAAAAGCACAGCAAACTAGTCAAAATGATTTCAACCTGAATTTCATCTTAAAATACAACATAAAATCACCGTGAAAAGATGGAAGGAAAGATCCATGTGGTACAAAATAATGTAATAATGTGTGACAAGGGTCACAACTCATGATTCATTTATGAAATACAAACAAATTGCACTCTTTACTCACTATAACTGTCACTGTCATTTGACTGTTTGCCCTTGAAGCTCACAGTTTTACCTGAGCTTTGCTTTCTATAAAATTATTCACATCCCAAAACAGATATTGTCAAAAAATATCTGTGCAAACCTTTCTGTCAAATGGTGGTTATTGTTTATATATTCTCTGCTTTAATGTACAATGATAGGCTAGGACTATGGTAAAGAAAAAAAGCTGTTCTAACTGGCTGACTGGCTGACTGTCAGTTGTCAATCAGCAAACTTGTTGGATGGTTGTCTTGATAACTGGTCAAGTCGCCTGAGAGTCATCTCCCCCAAAGTCATGTTGCCTGAAATTTTAGTAATGTGGCCCGAAAAAAAAAAGTCAAGTCACTTGAAGAAACAAATACGAAAAAGATCAGAATTTCAGACTGTAAATAGGCAATTGCACTGAATTTTTTATCACTATAGCACTCTTTGTTTCCAACAACACCATGAAGATTCTAAAAGCATTGTTCGTTTCTAACAACAAAGGGAAGTGTTCTCCATTTATGAGAAAAAAAATGAAGCCTTGTTCATTTGGTATGTACTTGTTTCTTACTCACGGACATTTCATAAGCTTGGGAAACTCTTTCTTGTTTCTCAAAATGTCATGAAGACTTTGACTACACAGAAATCGATTGTATGGTCAGAATTGAAATATGTTTGAGTAATGACTCTAAAAGTATTGTTTGTTTCTAACAACAGAGGGAAGCATTGTTGGTTGAAACAAAGAGCGTTTTAGTGATAAAAATTTCTCAACGTTACTGCCCATTTAAAGTCTGAAATTCTGACCTTTTTAGTATTTGTTTCTTTGGGTGACATGACTTCGGGTGAAATGACTCTTGGGCGGCTTGACGTTGTCTTCCCTCTGTCATTTGTGTCTACCAACTGCTGGTTAACTGTCAGCACAAAAATGGCCATTTTCTGAAAGATTGCTGACAATTTTTTTAAGCCAGTTCGTGGCCATACCATGAGAGGATAACACAGGCTAATGTAAAGAACTGCACCCAAACATAGATTGTCAGTTGTTTTCTGGTCACAATTGAATTTACTTGCACAATTTGAACCAATAGTTGGCTGACAGTTTTCTTTAACTTAAGCATAGACCAGCCGTAGGCCGAGAGTCGGTGAAGTTTCAGCAGTATGCATGTTAGATCTTGTCATCATTATATATGCCGTGACACCGCCAACCAACACAGCTCGTCTCGATTAAGTAGTCGGGCTAGCTGTAGCTAGCGCTTTGCTTTATTTTCCCCCCGCACTTTATAATTTTTGGCCTAACCCAGCAAACCCATGTAATCGAAGGAAACATATATTAGAATATACTTACAGTAGTACATCATCTGTCCTACGATGCCCGCGTTCGGATTTTTCGTTTTTCCGACGTAAACTTTCCTCTTGTACGTGTAATGTGGAGGTTCTCTTCGTGCCAGAGCGGCCATGTTGATGTTGTCAAACCTGCTCACTTTACTTAATTACGACCTTCAAAAATTTCAGACGATGACTCAAATCACACCTACATAGTCTATCGCGAAGTTTTATTTCTCCATCTTTAAATTTCTATGGCATTTTGGGAGTGAAATTGGCTATATTTCTCGCCGAATCTTCGGCGTTTAACGCCGATATCACCTCCATTTTGTTTCCTGTTGAGAAACTGCTGACTCCATTGTTACGGTCTGCGGCTTCACAAGACACTAAATAACCAAAACAGCTGCCAAAAAACAGCTATCAATGTTGTCTACGTCCCTCACGGTCAGGGACCCCTCAAGATCCCTCGAGCTCTTAGTTGACGGGAGAAGGGTTGGGAAATTTGTAGTAATTTTCCTGACTTGCCAAACCACCGTTCACTTCAAAAAGACAAAAATAGATGGGACCTTGTTCTTTCTACAAGAATGAAGAAGACTGACCTAGACAGAGACAGAGGATAGATCTTACTTCAAGGGGATACCTCTTGGAATTCCTTATAGAGGTATCCTGCCTAGCTCTAAAAATCCGGGCTTTTTTATATTGCAAGTAGGCTTTGCAAAAGAGCCAAAGTGAAGAATTGGTAAAATTTCCTCTAAGTTTTCTGCTCAAAGCCTGATATATTTGCATATTTCTATTAACCTTGTCCCAAAGAGTATTTCATTTATTATTTATGATTTATTTGGAGCACAAAAGACAGATAACTTTACACACTCTTGTGGTTCCCTAGAAAATCATCATGTTAGAAACATGAGCCCATTTTCAGACCAATTTGGCCCAACCAGAATCTTTTACGCGGTAAGGACTTTTAATTAGTATTTAGAGAGAAGCACTTAAGCAAATTCCACACCAAACAGTTATTCAGTCATAAAATTTTAACGCTGACGAGTAATTATTAGGATTTGCATGTATTTTTCTATTCAAAATTAAGATTTTTCTTCTAGAATTTTCCCAAATCAATAAAATTCTCCAAAATCAAGTTAATGAGATCACATCACAATAGGCTTGGTGGTTGTGAGACTTATCCCAGAGTAGAAATTTCTGAAATTCAATTTGGCCAAGATAGTTATCTATAATTTTGCTTCCTTACAAAGATCTTTCCCAGCAATTAAGTTGAACCAGAGATCTCCTTTTGAGAACTCCAATTCAACTTTCCTTTTTGAACCTCAGCCAGGTTATTTTGAATTTCAGTTTGCAAATAATTTCTTTCTTGAGAATATCTTGATTTCCTTCCCAACACCAAGAGATATTGACCAGCTACAGTGCAAGTAACATACATTGGTGTTCTTAGGATTAAGAAAGAAAAAAAAATAAAGCACATACGCTTTTCAGTGTATAAAACTACCAGTGTAAACATCTCAGAGCATAATTTTCACCTCGTGTTGAAGAAGATAACAACATAACTTGCAAAAATGAGAATATGTGCAGCTAATTAAAGCATTTATTGGCTAAGAATTTGCTTTAAGATGTTTCATGACAGCTTTTTTGAGATTACCTTGTTTGTATGGCACTTCAAGGTAAATTTTCTAACAATCAGGATTGAATTGGATCTACAGTATACTTCATAACCAATCTCTCACTTGCTAAATTCTGCACAACCTTCTCATCCAAATAAAAAAAAGGGGTAAGTTTCCAAAGAAACTGTGGTGCTGTATTGGAGGGAGAGTATAATAGACAGGGTAATTAAAGTATTAACATCTGAGTTTATAACATAAATTAGCCACCAGAAAGAGTTTCAAAGCTGATTTTTCAAGCGTTGGCCCTTCATCTCAACCCAATAGATGCAAAATTCACACCAATTGCACCTTTGGTTACCCAAATTTCTCCCACACTGATACTACAAACACATTTGCTCCTTGCTCACCTTGTGATATTTTTCTTATTCTGATAAGCATTTGTGATTATCAAATGCATGGACACTGATTAATTTTCAACTTAGATAATGACCAAATTTGGATTCTAGGTCTGTGTGCAAGTTTTCTGATGTGTTCAACAGATCTGGTGTGCAACACATGCATCTAAAAGGTTGTGAGAGTTAGAGCTACTGAGAATGTCAAACATCTTGGCATGCATGTACATGCAAACCATTTACAAATCTTATCTTAGATAATTGGCATTTAAAATCAAGAACGACTCAACAAAATTTGTACACATTTTATTAATTAAATTTCCTACAATTGCACTGTAAGACGTGGATGCTTTTCACTTTCAGTTAATTTTCTCTCATGTATCAAAGCTGATGGAAAATACCAGAAATCCATTGACATGTTTCCTACGATGGCATCGTGCATCGGCAGCATTGATAACAACTTTTATTATTCTTAACTTCACCTTCCGGTCAACATTTTTGAACGATTCAAAAAATTTTGGATATACACCGGCCGAGCAAGGCACAATGCCATAGTGGCTACATTTTCTTTTCATTGGTATTATGAAAGTCTTTAAGTTTGTTCTCTACTATCAGCCGGAACACGAATTGTGAAACCCAGCGAAAAGCATTCGCAACTGTTAGAAATCGCTACATGTAGTAAGTACCATTCTCTGTTTTGATGATAGGAAACCGTAACAGAGTTAAGGATATGACAATTAATCTTTGACAGACATCGAGACGGCTGTGCTAACTACGATCAAAATAACAGGAAATGGACCGTGGACTGTTACACAGGAATAAAGACATAAAGCTTCTCTACTAGTATTTTGTATTTTTTTTTGATGTGATCATCATTACGAGATAAACTCAATTATAAAAAATTACAGTTAAATGATTGTTGTACAACCTTTCCTTCCCTTTCGCGCTTCCTCTTTCCCTTTCTCTCTCCATCTTCGGTTTACATTCGGCGGAAAACTCCAAGCTGCCTACGGCAATTGGGGCAGGAATGAACGGCATCCTGCATGCCGTCGATACAGAACGGAATCAAACAACAACCAGCCCAACAGCCGACAAGGATCAGTCCTCCACAAGCGAGCCAAGCCAGTGTACCAGGAGTGTACTGCACAGAAGTAACAATGGTTGCAGTGCAGTACGGGCACACCATCGACACAGGAGCTTCGCCATACATCGCATTCCCCACAACCACAGTTTGCGGCTGCTGTATGATTGTAGTAGTTTGAGTGGTCTGAGCAGACGGAGGCGGCCCGTAGCCTTGAGGTGGCGGTCCGTACCCTTGTGGTGGTGGCCCATACCCTGGCCCAGGTGGTGGGTAACTTTGTGGTGGAGGGTAACCTGGCTGTTGTGGATAGGCTGGCGGCCCTGAAGGCGGATAACCGGCCTGAGGTGGTTGATAAGGTGGCGGTCTAGGGTCCGCCATTATGGATGTCTTCGATCGAGCACGGAAGCAGTTATGACTATTCTTTTCAGCAACCTTCTAGCGCCTTTCGATGCTTCGAACGCTCAAACTAACTCAAAGTTATATTCAGTCCTTCAATTTCAAGGCTACAAAGGAGGAAGACGTCTAAGTCACCTCGAAGGTTCGACGCAGAAAAGTTTAAACGAATCTTCTTTATTTCGTCACGTGATGTTGCTTTACCGCAACATGACGTCAATCTCTTATTTGTTTCCAACACAACGAGCTGAGTAGGAGTGAAATTGCGTTGGCGTGAAGGTCGAATAGAGTTGTGGCATTGAAAGTTGTCGTATGGGAAGGATGTTTAACCCTTTAACTCCCATGTCTGACCAAGACAGAATTTCTCTTTACAATATATATACAATTTCAAGCAGACAGGTGATGAGAATAAGGAAATATATTAATCAGAGGATTAGTAGTTGATCTAATACCAAATTCTCCAAACTAACATCTCAAGAACTATATAGCAGACAGTGAGGACAATTACTAAGGAGATCTTGGAAGTAGAAGGGTCAATAAAAACATTTATTCAAAATAATTTCCGATACTAATCAACAGCGTAATTAAGCGACACAGGCGGTCCAGGGACCCGTTTCTCGAAAGTCCTGGTAACTTGACAGGCTCGAAAAACTGTTCTGTTTTAATTCAAAACAGGAATTTCCAAAGTTTTGAGAATCATACAAAAAATATATCAGCTAAAGAAACAAAATGGACTGGTTACGGTGCCAGAACCTACTTCTCTATTCTTTAA